ATGTTTTAAACTGATGACCTTATGAGAAGTCATGTCGATAAATGGCGCAGTCCTGTTTGGCATCCCACTCTGTGAGTACTAATCCCACCATGTTCTCAAAAGTTTACTAAAGTTTACTACTACAAGTTTTAGTTTTTACCCTTTTATTGATGATGAAAGATCTGAGTTTATTTGGGGCTAAAAGAAGAAAGTAGTTTTTCTAGTACGCTAGTCTCATTTAGGGGCCATAGCATAGTCTGTTTATTGGCGCTATACACTTTGAGTTTCAAATTGAAAAGGCAACTAGATTCCTGTTTGACCACAAATGTTTGGTTTACTGTTTATATTATTGTGTTATAATCAAATTTAATATAATGGGATCATTTTTTACTGATCAGCAGTCCTAGGAACAGCAAAGCAAAGAACCTTTTGTCTTTTCATATATAAATATATGCCTTTCATAATATTATATATAATAATTATATATATATATATTAATATATATAATATATATATATATATAATATATATATATATATAACATACATGGTTGTAGTGTGGTGTGTGTATATATATATATATGTATGTATGTATGTATATGTATATGTATATGTACAACTAAGCTTTGAGATTGCATCCTGCACCAAGACCAAACTCATCTTTACTTTAATATCAAAAGATTAAATTAGTTTAATTGCATTTAAGTTTTCTGAAACAGTAACACAGGAAACTAAATGGAGCAATTAACAGCACAGAGTAAACATATTCATCAGCGAGACAAAGTGAGCATCGCAATTGATTTTTAGATTAAGGCTCTGTGCACAGGTTTATCATAAAGCCATGCTTGAATATTAGTATTCCAACACAATAGCTAATAAAACCAATGAGAGACTATTAAGCTGATATATTGATTTCATAAATATTTTGTTGTACCCTTTGGTTGAACATACACTATATAAATCCATTCACCCAGTTTTATGTAGATGCTTATCCAATGGGATCACAGAGGGCTGATCCCAGCTGTTGCATGGTGAAAGGCAGGGTACACGCTGGGCAACAGGCAAGTCCATAACAGGGCTAGCAGAGAGAATTAGTAAACCACACGCTCTCATATCCAAACCTCAATGTAGACAGCTAATTTGCAATCAGCTCTCGCCACTGAATGAATCAAATAAGATGTTTTCCTGAAAACAAACTGATGCAACTTTCCTGAGCCTACATTTTGAAGCAGCAGGGACCACCATAGATGTTTTCAGTGAGTTAAGGTCACAGCAAATTGCCTCCTGGAAATTCAGTGTATTACACTGTGATAGCCTGGAACCACCCACTCTATATTTCACATTAACGGGCACTCCAAAACACCCTCAGTTAACAACCCTGAAAAAAAGCAGGTCATAACTTGCTCACCCGATCTCAAGATACTGAGCTTACACTGAAACTAAGGGCGGTATTAAACTCTTGACATGTGTTCTTTCTTCCCAGCAGCTCTTCCCAGCTGAATGGTTGTGTGAAGATTGGTAGACAGACATGTGTGGGAACATGTATCATAGTTTATCTTTCCACTCTCTGAGCATGAATCTTCACTTTCACCGAAAGAAAAGATAAAATGGTAATCAGGTATCACTGCAATCTATGGGGATAGTTATTGCTAATTTCTTTTAAATGAAGGTGTTTACATGCCCTATGTATTAGTGCACCCATAGTTATCACTCAGTATTCTCTTGCAGGTGTCTTCAAACAGATTCATAGCATTTGCAAAACCCTCATTCATATCTTTGCAGGAGCTTTGCATCAGACAGCGTGTCTCTTAGTCCCTAAGACAAAAAGTAAAAAAACATCAATGAGAACTAGCCCACAGGTGAGTCATTTTTCTCATAATGCATTTTCTTTTTTTTTTTTGTAGTTCTCTGTAATATATCACCAGCAAAGAGCGGAATTGTTTTCACTGTTTACCACTTTGCACTTTGAAAGGTTTTGGCACATTCAGCTGCGAGGCTACATTTTAAATGATGCAGTGACTGTGCACGTGTTATTTGGCATTCCAAACGAAGGTCTGTTATTTACTTCAGAATACTGTACATTTCTTAGCGTTGTTCTTATAAACCCACAGGAACAGATGTTTTGCAAAAGAACATTTTGCAAAAATAAAAGTGGAAAAAAGTGATAAAGGTGCACGAGAGGGAAGGGAAAAAAAGCTATGAAAATAATTTTAGCAGACAGGTTGAGTGGGATCAGTGCATCATCCCATTCTGCTATTTTGTTGAAGGTCAGATTTAATCTATGTAATTATTGTCATGCAATTTTATGCAGCTCTGCCTGAATTGAAGTGCTCCAGGGTACGCCTACGCAGTGTTTTAAACATTCCTGCTGAAAAAAGATGAAAAGGGCACACAATCTTGTGAAATATGTTTTTCCCTCTTTTTCTCAATCTAACATCAGGGAGATTACCTTTTCCCTTTCCTGCAGCTGAAAATATCTTTCAAGCAGCGATAGTGCTCGCAGGGGTGGGCTGTTAAGCCTTAGCACTCCCATTCTTATTCAAATGAAGGCATTTGACCATCTTCTGCAGGATATGAATCTATTCAAATGTATCCCATTTGTACGGTTTCAGGGCCGACATTATCTGCTTTTAGTGTGATCTTGGGTACTATTGCATCAGCAATATGCCTGAAAGTTTAAATGGCATTTGTTTTGTTTATCTTCGTCTATTTTTCTTTTCTCTTATTTTCAGACACACTCCAGGAGTGACGTTAGCTTGTCCTCTGAAGCGTACATTTGATGATTTAAGTAAATTGCTTCACCCCAACACCAGCACAACGGCAGCCAACATCCAAAGAAGAGCTTTGAATGTCCTTTAAGAAACCTGAAAAACAGACTTTTGCACAGTACTATATGACCCTGACCCTCCTGGCTTTTCCAAACACGAGGTTTATCTCTGCAGTGGGTGCTTTAGCATCAGAGTTCCACAGCTTCGACTTCGAATTAACCCGCCTGGAGACGGAGAAGTGTCAGAGACTCAGTGAATTCATTAAAAAAAATTCTCTTATAGCTACACTGTCTTTAAAATGTCATTTTTTGTTGCCACTATTCATTTTTAGTCATGTTTATTCATTTTATTTACATTTTGTGTTTGCATTTTTTCTAGTAATTTTAACTTCACCTTAATTTTCTGTTGTTTTTTGGACAGTGCTGCCTTGTTTTCTGTTTTATTTTACCTTGTGGAAATCTACACAGGATACCCAGACGGTGAATAAAAGCTTTTCATATTAAAATCACATTTTACAACAACAGCAGAGCAAACAGCTGCTTTGGGACATGTAAAACATAATTTGCTTTAGTTTGTGTTTTATTTGTCTGCACCATTTGTATACAGGATACCTACAGAGACTTCCCTATTTTTAGATGGGGAACGTGTGCATGATCCTTGTTCTAAAGGTCAAAGGAGGGGAGAAATGGGAGAGGCATCAGTGTGTCCATGCTGTCATCAAAATTTTTTGGTGTAACCCAGTACTAGCGTGCCGGTATGCCGCAAGTTAACAATCGGGAGTCAGCTGGAGGGGATGCGTGAGTTTTAAGAAGCGCTTTGATTTCCTGAAACACATGCAGATATGGCAGGTGGCAGTCAAGCAGTTAATTTGTTAATTTGCTAAATGTTTATTTATAACAAGCAACATGTGATACTAGATATAATAAAATAGTTGGTGATATAAATATTGTATGATATCAAACAAACATAGCGTGCTGCATAGCCTCACTGTGTGCTGCCATAGATGATCCTTTCAAGTCTTTTTTAAGTATGTAGATAAACTGGTTGACCATTTTCCACCAAATGTTGACAGTTTTTTAAACAAAATTGGTTTTCCGTCATACCATCATGTCTCACAAGTTTAAAGGATGTAAATATATATTGATTCAATAGTAACAAGCATTATCTGGCTGGATTATAATTGGTACTATGTTGGACAATGGGATAATGAGTACAATGTTGTGCAAATGTTTATCTTTAAAACCCACTGAATGTAGTGGATGACCACCGTGTGGGTGTAACAATTGGCAACTGGCAATCAGATCACAGCAAGCCACTGCAGAGTAGATCACACATGACTGTGGGCATACGGGTGAACAACTATGTTCATGTGTGAGGGCAATTATGTTTGAGCACTTGTAGAACGGGTAGGCGTTATAGAGAGGGGGGGGTGTTTATATATGCCAGAGTCTGTGCTTATACATCTAAATTTGAACATGAGCGTGCGTGTGTGTTTGCGTGTGTGCCGTAATAACATTGTTCCATTACACAATGCATGCCTTTGACATTCCAGTCCCACCTGTCAGCGTGAACAAAGGCCTTTCTCGCAGGCTTGACATGCGTGAGTCTGCTGCTGGACGGGAGAGATAGCGGCCCTGTGTAGGATGTGTGTGGGAGGACAGCTTGGAGAGTCCTTCCTGACCTTCTCCACGGGCTTCCTTTCAGGTTGACTCGAGCTAAGTGGAAAACACTAGTGAAGATGTAGCCATGCAGAAGGAGTGCCCCCTTTCTCTTCAAACTGACATTTTGTAAGATGTATCAGGTGATTTAGTAATGCAGCAATCACAGCGCTTGAGATTAACATGTTGCTCTTTACTTTTAGCTTCCCAACTTTTAACTTAAACCAAGAGAAATTCTACATTGGAGATTAATGTGAAAACTGGGATTCTTTTATAATAACTACATTATGTGACTTATTTGTACTTAATATTTTAACCTTTTAAGTCGCTGACCATGGCTCAAGAGTTGGGAGTTCGCCTTGTAATCGGAAGGTTGCCGGTTTGAGCCCCGGCTTGGACAGTCTCGGTCGTTGTATCCTTGGGCAAGACACTTCACCCGTTGCCTACTGGTGGTGGTCAGAGGGCCCGGTGGCGCCAGTGTCTTGCAGCCTCGCCTCTGTCAGTGCGCCCCAGGGTGGCTGTGGCTACAATGTAGCTTGCCATCACCAGTGTGTGAATGGGTGGATGACTGGATGTGTAAAACGCTTTGGGGTCCTTTGGGACTAGTAAAGCGCTATACAAATACAGACCATTTACCATAATACATTTTTTGAGGCTGAAAAGTTAAGTTAAGGCTACAGGAACTATCCAGTGATTCCTAATTAGGGGTGCTCCTACAGTAGCTCCTAAAACTGTAGGCACAATTAATTATGTTGTTAATGTATAAATAGGCATGATTCATTAATTACTGAAGATGCACACAGTCACCTTATAATGCCTAAAACTAAGCTGTTCAAGTTTTATTTTTCCTGCCGTATGATTTACTATAAATCCCTATCAGGTGCAAACAGCTGCTATATATTGAAAAGGATTCTGCTGTGAATTTTAGTTTAGTTACCTTGGAAGGTCATAGACTGACATTCTTGCTCTTACCCATAGACATGGGATTATCTTTCACATCCACTATGCAGACTATGAGCTTTAGTCCTTCATACAGTCTTTTAGTATGGATTAATGATCGCTGTTTGTAAAAGCAGCACAAATTTTGTGTTATGACAATCCAGAGAGACACTAACACATAACCAGCTGAGTTCTCTGCAATCAGGGGTTACTCTATGTATCTAAAGTTGTTCTGGACAGATATAATCAAATATCAAGACAAAATGTATCATAAATCATTCAGATAATAACCCACCTCACAAGAAAATTGCAATAAAAAAAGTCACCTTATAGAACTTTAGGGGCTTTCAACTGAGAGCAATGATTTAAAAGTTTAAAAGCCACATTAGACATGACATCTGAATGAAACGTGCCAGATTTTAATTATAGCTCCCCTACTGTGCCGCCTAATTTTTCTAAGGACTGGTTTATTTGTGCAGCAAATTTCATGTCACTCAGACTAATGGCGTAGGAGCTGACACCTTTCAAACCGTGAAAATGTAACCTTTAAAAATAGCCCCCATTAGGGCAATTTAAGAGTTCACTCTGGAACATATGAGGCAGTGCGAAAATACACGGTGGTTTCAAGTTTCTTTAAAATCCATTACCTGCTTTCCAGACAGTTCTATTATTTATTTATTTATTCTTTTTATGTATTTTTCTGTATTGTATTTCCCCGAACGCTGAAAAACGAATGTATAGTGTTATACACGAGCGTTTTTGTTTTGCCTGTTGCTTCTTTCCCTCATCTACAACTCGCTGGTCAAGTTTATTCCTCGGAACCTCTGCAGAGATGGTGACGACTGCTGTAAAAATGTAAACCCATTTACAGGAACATGTCTTGCAGGCAAGGAAGCCTCTGAAGTTCCGATGTCGGCAACACGAGCTTAACGAGAAATTCAGTCCAATGACACAGACGCTGCATTAAAAATTCCTGCACAGTAGACGGGCTTTATGTTTGATGCATTACCTCACAATCATATAGTGTCAGTTACAAAAAAAATTACAATGATGCCATGACGATTACAGGCAGCAGCAAAAATAAACCCACCCCCAGCCTTATGTTGCTTTGTGTCCCCATCATACACCTTTGGTTGCAACACGTTGCAGTGATACAGTCACCTACCTCATTTGAATGTATGGCATGTGGTCTGTATCCAAACACCTTCAGCTTTTCTTCAGCTCTGTTTTGATGTCTATACACTCTCACAAATCAATCCTGGGGTCATTACAGTTATCTGTGCTCTTGACTAAAGCTGCTTGTCTGCGTTACTAAAAGCATTTACTGTGATGTATATATTTCTGTACAGAGGACTACGCTACAATGCGGTCTACAGTATAAGTGTGAGGACTATGGGCGTGTTACATAAGATGTCTACATGGGGGAATCGGTGTATTGGCTGTTTGAACAGAACCCCTCAGCCTACAGCGAGTCACTGCGCAAAGGCACAGCTCATCAATTCAATATCTCACACATATGTCTGTTTAACAGGCGCAAATCCTCAAATGCATTTAAAGGTCCCTGGAAAGCATTAAAGCCTTCTTCTGTCCACGAGACTATTTACATTCTGCAGTCACGGCGGTGTCATTAAACCAAATTTGTCAAGTTACGTTTGAATAATTCAAAACTGAATAATTAATTTCATGATGTTTCTTCTTTTGCTGACTTTTTAATGTAAGGGGGGTTTCCCTTTCATGAGATAAAATGTTCAGTGGCCTCGGCTGTGCTTTCAAAGCTTGTGTCCATGCTAGGGGTCTGGATGCCCGCCCCTCCCCTGGGATCCTTCAGTAAGGGAATGAATGTATCGCTGTGACCGGAACGCATGTCGTTGTCCCAGGCCCCTGCACCGCAAATATGTTTATGGGAGCCAGATGCAGCCTTGAGCTCGCCGCCGGTGCGCAGTGCCATCAGTTCAATCTCATGTTTGGCCGCAGTCTCCAGCACCTGTTGCTTGTTGTAGAACAAGACAAAATTGTTGATGATGGGATGTATAGGCAGGGCTATGGCGATGACCCCACAGAGAAAGCTGATAGCCGCGTTACACCGACCTAAAGTGGTCTTAGGGTAGACATCTCCATACCCCACTGTGGTCATGGTGATCACAGCCCACCAAAAAGACTGTGGGATGCTGGTGAATAAGGTGTCCGGGTGATTCTGCTCCATAGTGTAGCCCAAAGCCGAGAAAAGGAATACCCCCACGCCCATGTACATGAGGAGCAGTCCGAGCTCCTTCAGGCTGCTCTTTAGGGCAGATGTCAGAGTCTGGAGTCCCGAGGAATGGCGAGCCAGCTTGAAAATGCGCGCAATGCGCATTATGCGTAAAGCCTGCACTGCTTGCTGCACATTAGCCAGCTCCATCACTCCCGCGCCGAAGGAGGTCAGAATCAGCACCACATAAAAGGGCATGATCGCCATGAAGTCGATTATATTCATGAAGGACAGTACGAATTTTATTTTATTTGGGGAAGAGATCAGACGCAGGAGGTATTCAATAGTAAACCAGCCAATGCACACGGTCTCGATGACCTCCAGGACCGGATGCTCCGTGAGTTTACCCTCCGAGTCCTCCACCTGCAGGTCGGGGATGGTGCCGACGCACATCACCACGGAGGAGATGAGGATGAAGATGAAAGAAACTATAGCGATTATGTGGGCAGGCAGGGACGATTCTGGCTTTTCCATCAACCGCCAGAGGCATATCTGGAAGCGCTGCCAGCCCCCTGCAGACGGATCGCCTTCTCTGTCGACAAGGATAGTTCTCACTTTCTCGGCTATCTCTGCAAGTTCATCCTCTACCTCTTTCAGGTGGCTTTTGCAACATTCATCCAGAAAATCCGAGTCAATTTTCCAGAACTCCATCTCCTTCATGAAGCAAATTGGACATATGCCTCGTTTCATGTGTATCTCCCCATAATAATACAACTCAATTATGCACTTAAAAGCTTCGGGGTCTCTGTCAAAGTAAAATTCTCCCGTGTCCGCGTCGTAATCGTCACATATTAACGAGATTTCTTCAGAAGATTTGAGTGAACTGTCCACCAGCTCTGCCAGTCGAGTCTCCGGGAAGCGAGTCAACACGTCTCCATACAACACCTGTTTCACTCCGCCGATATTCACCACAATCTCAGTCTCTTCACTGGCCTCAGAACCGTTGCAGTCTGCATACCGCGTCCTCTGGAAGCCCCACATTATTCTGACAAGTCCGCCAGAAAACAGCCAAACTCTTTGAGATTATAACTGAATCCGTTTTCTGACAAAGTTAACGCAAGTCACTAGAAGCCCTGGCGCTGTGCGTAACAACCGACAAACCTTCTAATTTCTGTTCTTTTAGGTTAGAAAAAAGTGTATGCTCAGAAACTGAATGCAGCGTGAAGTCTCCTCACTTCCACTCAGCTGTGTTTGGCAGTGATCATTGCGCCTGTGCGCTCTGAGAAAGTTGGCATTGAAGTGCGCCTACTATCAAGCGTGCCATAACCAAAGCAAACCGAGATTTCCAGGCTTAAATTTCACAATAAAACACGTATAGCAGTATGAGACAGGTAAAAGTGGAGCAGGCTGTTTATTTAATGTATAATTTAAAGACACACTCTTTGTTCCCAAAATTGTACGCCAAGTTATGTTCATTATGGGATGCCAATAGTAGCACATGCAAAATTCAATGTATAATTTGTTCAATAATAAATTAGCGCATTATACTAAAAGTTATGGTTTGCTCTAATATTCACTCAGCTTGCTATAGCCCCACCCGACCTATTATCTTGGCATGTTATGCTTTTATTTTTTAAAGCTCGTTGGATGTCTTCCGCTCGCGCAGTGCAGCCAGGCTCAGATCATAAATCTCCAAGGCATGTGATTATTTGTGAAAGGGTAGGGTCATAGTCGTACCCCTGGGTTGGGTTGGAGGAGAACAATAACTGGTTAAAGTGGCAGTTAATCAAATCATCCATTTTTCCATCAACAGCGGATGAAATCTTAACCCATCATCCATTTTGAATTCATTATCACGCAGCGCAACAGCTCAGCAAACAGCTAATTATTAAGTACTTAACATGAGGAGTAATCGAGACTTTTTAAGGAAAAGCAACTGAAAAAAACGTAACTGGCTCCTATGAACTGAACTGACAGAAATGACTGTAATGCGTTTTTCTTACACTTTTGGCCTATTTATACACATTTTTAATATATTTTCCAGAATATTTATTTTCTGTGTATTTATTTTATGTATTTCTTGTCTTTTTACAAGTTGAACACCGAGTTCACCTGATCAGACCTCCAGCTCACTGAAGTAACAGCTTGAATGGCTTTCAGCAGCCATTCTGCATGTCTTGTTCTTTGTCTCCACCTACAGACAATATCTTTGAACGACTGCATCTTAAGCTATCTTCGAAACACTTCCCATGTTTGCACTTATCAGTCATTCACACCTATGGTCAATCTAGAATGATCATGCGTAATTTGTGGACTGTGGGAGGAAGAAAAGCCACATAGGAACGAGGAGAACTCAATTTTGACCACATTTCCTCTAAATTCTAAAAAAAAAAAAAAAAAAAAAAATCAAAGAAAGAAAGAAAAAAGAAAAGATGACAAAATATATTGCATTTAAATTTTGACTGCTATAGTTAGGATGTAAATGTCATTTACGTGCAGTCATTACTTCATTTGTCCTCTTTACTGCTTGGTGGACCCTCTTTTGGCAGCTAGATTCTTGCTTGAAACCACAGAAGCTTTGATTATTTTACATAGAATGAAATTACATTTAATGCGCCCTTTTTAGTGATTGATAAAGTGATTTATTGTAAAAATTAGAAAACATTTTTTAACTCATGGAAATTTATTGTGATATGAAATGTAGAAATTAAAAATCTTTGCATAGGAGTTAAAACTCAGTCTTTAAGGCTGATTAATAGGTCTCAAACACAGACCAGCCACTTCATTAGGTGCATCTTGCAAGTGCCAGGTTGGACTCCTTTTATTCTTCATGGCATGGATTCAACAAGGTGCTGCAAATATTCCTCTGAGATGTTGGACCATATTGATATGATAGCATCGCACAGCTGCTCTAGATTTATCAGCTGAGTTTCTATTGGATATCCAATTCCACCACATCCCAAACGCGCTCTTTTAAATTGAGATCTGGTGACTGTGGAGGCCATGTGAGTGCAGTGAACTCATTGTCCTGTTCAAGAAACCAGTTTTAGATTATCTGAGTTTTGTGATATGGTGTGTTATCCTGCTGATCAGAAGATGAATACATAGTAGTTTTAATGGACTGGACAGGGTTAACAACAATACTGAGGTATGATGTGATGTGTAAGAGGCTTACTTAGTAGTAAGGGGGTCAAACTGTAAAAAGTATGCACTCCACCTACAGCCTGAACCATTGACACAAAGCAGGATGGATCCATGCTCTCATGTTATTTATGCCAAATTCTGACTCTGCCATCTGAATGTTGCAGCAGAAATCGAAGCTCATCAGGCTCGTTTTTCTAATCTTCTGTTGTCCAATTCTGGTGAGCCTGTGCAAACCATAGGCTCAGTTTCCTGTTCTTAGCTGGCAAGAATGGCACCTAGTGTAGCCTTCTGCTGCTATAATACATCTGCTTAATGGTTTAGTGTGAGTTTACAGAGTGGTTGTTTGAGTTACAGTTGCCTTCCTTTCAACTCAAAGTAGTCTGGTCATTCTCATCTGACCTTAACAAGGCATTTTGGCCTAGAGTACTGCTGTTCAGTGGATATTTTCTCCTTTTTAATCAATTCTAAAAATGGGAGGATTGCCTTAGGAAGTGCATTTGGTGTAAAATCCATGCCAAATGAAAGCACGTGAATTCATTCCATGTGGGAACCTCTTAGGAAGTAAGGGAGCAGCCAAAGGTACTTTTTTTCATCCTAGAGATGATTGAGCAGGAAAATGCCAATAGACCAGCAATATTGAAATACTCAGACCAGCCTGTCTGGTACCAACAATCATGCCACATTCAAAGTTATTTAAATCACCTTTCTTACAATTTCTGATGCTCAGTTTAAAGGTTATCTCATGTACATGCCTAAATTCATTGAGTTGTTATCATGTAATTGAACGAGGTGTACTTAATGAAGTTGTCAGGGAGTGTATGGATCAGTTTTATGTCTCTTTACACTTTATGATGAGGAAAAGTTACAAAAAAATGTAGTTTAGATTGTTGGCGTTTCACATTAAGGCAAAGCATAATAATTACAATTCAATAAACAATGATAGTAATATAGTAACAAATAGATACCATTTATATTTATTTTAGTATTATTTTATCTGTGTAACTGTCTAAAACTTATTGAGAAGTAAAGTTTATGTATTATTTACACTGAAAAGCATTACTTAGCTTTTAAGTTTGGCTTATCTTTGCATGCCTTTGCATAAGCAAAATCTGTACGATACTGTGTTTAATATGTACAGTCGCATTCCATCTGTTTGTAATGAGTCAGCCTTCTCACGGATCACGTCCTCTTGCTGCTGTTACATGTGTTGCTTCCTTTCTCCTCCGGCCGCTCTCTCCCGTCTTCAGTGTACCGGTTCCATTAAAACTACACGGCGCGCGCTGATTGGCTGAGCTCAAGCGTCGGCATCAGCGGACCAATCAGGGTGGGCCACGGTGAGATTTTTCTGTGTACTTTTGTGAGCGACGCAGCGGCAGCGGACTGTGTTGTTCTAAGTGAGGAGACGAGCATAGAGAGGCTGAAATCATGAAGCCACTTTTACTCGGTGAGTGACAACAGTAGAAGCTTTTCTGCTTATACTAAAGTTAAGGTTTGTGGGTTTGTTAACTAAATGTGAATTTGGCGGCGTTTTTGGGTTTTTTTGCTCGTCTTGTTAGCTTAAATAGCTAAGTTAAGATTCCGAGAACAGAGCCAGGCCTTCGTTATCGTCTACTGAATTAAATAATAAAAGTCATTTCCTTTATTTGTTAAATAAATGTAGATTATAAACTGCACACAAGTAGATGTAAAACATTTTTTCGCTGTTTTCTTAAACCAAGTGGCTGTTTCGGTGAATGAGCATGCATTGCTAGGCGTCATCCTTTTCCTCTTGTCCTCATGTTTTGTTTCAGGAGTACTGGGCTGCTCTCTGGTTCTGGCTGTCCAAGCTTTGTACTCGGCTAGTGATGATGTGATCGAGCTCACCCAATCCAACTTTAACAGAGAGGTGATCCAGAGTGACAGTCTGTGGCTGGTCGAGTTTTATGCTCCCTGGTGAGTTTGTATAACTGTGATGGACTCTTCTTGTCTTGTAGTGGTAACAAGTGTTCTAAGAACAGCCAGTGATTATAGTTTAAATACCAGTTTCTCATCTTTGTGTTTTATTATCTAGTCATCTGTTTTACATCTGTACTTGTGATAGGAATAGACTTGTCTGGTAAGCTGGTAGCTCCTCCTTAGGTTGAGCACCATCGTGCAAAAGTGCTCAACAGAGACACAAAGGGAGAATAGTTTGTGCGTAGATGCACACAGTCTACATGCTTGCGTGCACACAGGGTTGGTATAGCAAAACTCAATTCTGCAACAAGAGGCAGTCGGCGGAGATGTGACTGCACAAAATCTATGCAAATCAAGTGTTAAATATTCACTCCCTATTAATACCAGAGCATTTGGTTCAGTGACTAATAAGGGTGCCACATAGCTGTTTGTGCGTTGTATTTAGCAGGTCATTACTGAAGGACTGTAGAATAAATCTCACACTGGCAAAATGATGTTGTTTTTTTAACATTAAAATGAGTTTGTGTATAAAAACATGGATTTAGATTTCACTTTCTCTGTTGCTTTCTGCCAGGTGTGGCCACTGTCGAAATCTAGCTCCTGATTGGAAGAAGGCAGCTACTGCCCTCAAGGTAAATACAAATTGCCGTGATCATCTATCTGATGCCCTGTAGACTTTCTGATTGACAGCCTGTTTTCTTAGCTGAATGCCTCCTCTGCATTAAAAACGCCTACATCTGTTGTGGAGAAATATTCAGCGGTGGGCTTTGACTTTAAATTTCACAGTAATTTCAGTGACAGCGCATTCAGTGGATGGTTATGTGTGTGTGCTTTTATTTGATATTTAACAATAAAAAATGGTTACTTAATAAGGGATATTTTCCTGTAAGAAAGAGGTGCTATCTACCTAACTTTTCTGTTGTTGAAAACTAGGAAGAAATGAGACGTTATCCAACCTGGGATGACAGGATCCAGATTAAAAATGACTTGTTTATTTCGTGAAATGTCTTCTCCTTTTTCCACACAGTATTGTTGATATGGGCAACTCCTGTAATGAAATCCCAGTTTAACGGCAATTGCTCATTGGCATGCAAACTAAAGTTTTGTTTTAAGCCAAATAAAAATAAGTTGACCTGAATATAAACTCAGAAGCTGCATAATCCAAATTGTGTGTTGTGACTTTTCCTCAGGGTATTGTCAAAGTTGGTGCTGTGGATGCTGACCAGCACAAGTCACTGGGTGGCCAGTATGGTGTCAGAGGGTTCCCCACCATCAAGATCTTTGGCGCTAATAAGAACAAACCAGAGGAGTACCAAGGTACAGAACTCTGCTGCTACAACTTTCCTATGTGTAAATTGAAAGTATTTTTCATAGTAAAATCTTCCAAGTCCTACTGAATAAGTTGAGTAAACTGATAAGCTGAACATAATAATTAATAGAAAAGGGGATGCTGGTTTGTTTCTTAATAATCTAACATCTTATCTTGATAAAGAAAGTTCAGGCGACCCCCAACAATTTAAGCAGAAGCATCTATTAGATGAGAATAGAGATGAGCAATAGCAAGAAAAGTCATCCTGTGTAATAGCATCCAATTTGAATTTCACTTTCCTGCTACGTGTACTTATATCTACACAAGGTCACCTTCCCGAAGTCTATGGCAGAAATGTTTTATCTCTCCAGCAGGCTCAGTCCATCATATCATTATGACTTTGTTTGCTGATCCTTGCTACGTCTGTGAACAGGGTCATCTTTAGTCTTATCAAGCACAGTTGTGACTTCAGAGTATTTTATTGCTTTCAGGGCTTATAAGAGACCTGTACAAAACACTGTATTTAATAAGGTATTATTTTCATAGCTTTCAAGGCCTTTCTTCCTGTTATTGTGTTTGAGGCTGCATTAACTGAAATCTGCATTTCTGACAACCACGCAGGTGGACGCAGCAGCCAGGCCATCGTGGATGGAGCCATGAACGCTCTGCGTAACCTGGTGAAAGAGAGGCTGAGCGGCAGGTCTGGTGGCTCTGACTACAAACAGGTAATGAACCTTTTTTTTTTTTTTTGCACTTGCATGAAATCACAAAGCTTTAAGAAAACACACATGAGCTGATTTATGTAACTGATAACTGGCTTGTAGCAGAGCGGTGGTGGTGGCGGCAGCAGTGGTGGGAACAAGAAAGATGTGGTCGAGCTCACTGATGACAACTTTGACAAGTTGGTGTTGGACAGTGATGATGTGTGGCTGGTGGAGTTTTTCGCCCCCTGGTGTGGACACTGCAAGAAGTGAGTTTGGTACTCGAAACGGTTAATTCCAAGCAGTAGGAAACTGAAATCCTCCCACTGTAACAATCTAGTGCAGTTGAAAAAGTGAAATAATAGCCCAGTAGGCCTGGATAAGCCTCACTGAAAATTCTCCACTAGAATTTAATCCCACTCAAAACTGTTCAGTGAGGTCTTAGGGATTTTATTCCAATACCTTTAATACCATTTGATATTTCTGAAGAAAATAAAGTTTCTTGCTTGATTTAAATGTCAGTATCTCAGAAGCTAAATGATAAAGTTTTTCTAAGCACCTCTCCTCCTTTGTCAACAGCCTGGAGCCTGAATGGGCAGCTGCAGCCACAGCTGTCAAGGAGCAGACCAAGGGCAAAGTTCGCCTCGGAGCTGTGGATGCTACTGTACACCAGGGCGTGTCCAGTCGCTATGGGGTGAGTAACAGCTGACGTCTTGAAAAGGTGCACTCTTTGGATGTGAAAAAAAACATTTGCATGTTTTCTTGGCTAATTTTAAATGCACAACTTGATTATTGTGCACAATAATCCAGTGGCCACTTTGCCTTGGATACTTCCTTACTCTCGAGTCATTTGTAATGGTCTGTGTTACACTTACATGTTTTTAATGGCGTTTGATACTGAATAATAGCCTCTGCTGCTTTTTAGCAGAATGTTAAGTTTCAAAGCTCTAAAAATGCATTTGTAGTGTGGATTTAGTCGTGTCACACTAATTAAATCAGAATGTTTTTGCCTGAGTAAAACCCAGCTTCATAGTCAAAACTGCAGACCTTGATTTCTTGTTTGATAATCATTCCTCTGTAGATCCGTGGGTTTCCCACCATCAAGATTTTCCGCAAAGGTGAGGAGCCAGAAGACTACCAAGGAGGTCGCACCCGCGGTGACATTATTGAGAAGGCTTTGGATCTGTTTTCTGACAATGCTCCTCCTCCAGAACTGCTGGAGGTCAGTATTCTCTTATTTGTATGATAAAGTCATATATAATTGTTTTTAATTACAGTTTAAAATGCAAATTGAAGATAATGTTGTCATAGTCTACAAGAAAATTGCCTGATTTAATGTGTATTTTAATGTATAGTTTGTAAAAAATATATATTAATTCTAACTAGAAAGTTAGAATAAAAACCTTTTATTGTCATGATATGAAATACGAAAATTGAAGAGTAGGCACATAGAAGCGAAGAACAAACATTCAGCCTGTTATAGAGTAAATATAAATTACTATTCATTAAACTACTAATACTACTGATATATAGGGTGTATACACGGTATGGTGATGAAAGCACTTTGCAATAAAAAGTAATGCAAATTCATGTCAGAATATTAAATTTGTGTTTACTTTAAATTCTTTGTCTCTCAGATTCTCAGTGAAGACGTCTTAAAGAAGACCTGTGAGGACAGTCAGCTGTGTATAATTGCTGTCCTGCCGCACATCCTAGACACAGGTGGGATCACACACATTAACTCGGATCTGTCTTTCTCTTCTTAGATTCTTTGACATTTTTGCCCTTAATGAAAATAAATCATTTTAACTTTTATCTACTTATTTTATGTCAATAATCATGACTCGAGCATGGCTTTAGTGGGCTCCCAATATTTATTAAAAACGTATTTTTAATGCATGAAAAAAGGTTCCGCCTTGAGCTGTAAGGCTATACCTCACAACAGGTTGCAGGAGAGTTACCAGAAGCAGTAACAGTTCATTCCTGAATAGCTGATCATCACTGGTCATTATGTCTTAACAGGCGCGGCAGGTAGGAACAGCTACCTGGATGTGATGATGAAAATGGCTGAGAAGTACAAGAAGAAGATGTGGGGGTAAGCACCCAAGGCCAGACATACAGTATTGTACAAATCACTAAATTCGAGTAGGAAGAGTTTCATATTCATTCCTTGTTTAGTGGTGACTTGAACAAAATAACAAATTCTGGTGAACATTGAGTTTCGTGCGGGTTATGTAAGGAAGAGCGTAACATCGAGTTCGCAGTGGGATGATGAATATACAAATCATAAGAATTGGGATGTATAATGACTCTTTCTTTAAAAACATATAGAAGTTAATAATTGCAATATGTGTGACGATGTTCATGCAAAGTTTTGTTCAGATTGCCACACCCTTTAAAGAAAGAGGAGATTAGGTACATACGCTACAATCACCGATATAGTAAGGGAAATGATGACGGTGATTAACGGCCGACTCTTTCTTCTCAGCTGGCTGTGGACCGAGGCAGGGGCTCAGATGGAGCTGGAATCCTCTCTTGGTATTGGTGGTTTTGGCTACCCTGCCATGGCTGCCATCAACACACGCAAGATGAAATTTGCTCTGCTCAGGGGTTCCTTCAGTGAGACCGGTATTCACGAGTTCCTCAGGTAAGGAGGTGTAATTAACAAATACATTACACAACTTGGAGTAGGCTGAGCAGCGTCACTCACATGTGCTGATCTTTTCAGGGAGCTTTCTGTGGGCCGTGGCTCAACTGCCACATTGGGAGGTGGCGTCATGCCCAAGCTTCACACTGTTGAACCATGGGACGGCAAAGATGGACAGGTGAGTGGGAATCACATTGAGATAATGGTTGGAATGTGTAGCACTGCATGTAGACTAGCATAGGGTAGTCAAACAACCTTAACTGGTAGGTGAATCAGAAAACGGGTACTGAAGCTGAACACAGACAAGGGCCAGAATGACAGGATTGGATTATCCCCTGAACCCAAGGTTTATGGGCTGTCCCAGTGGGACAAACTATTAGTCCAGGGCAAGCAATTTGTAGTTAAACTGAATCTGTATGTCTGCTTAGTGTAACAGAATAAATGCCTACCAGCTTTGTACCGCCTCTGCACTGAAACTTTGTACTCCATCTGCATTATTATGCAATATTGCAGTGCTCTTAAATCCAGATAACCTTCTTGTCTCTTTAAATAATCTTTGAAGAGGTTCAGTCCATCTCAGTCTTTGCTGACAGCTCGTCTTTATTTTACGCTCTGTCATCCTCAAGCTTCCCGTGGAGGAGGACTACGACCTCAGTGATGTAGAACTTGATGACTTCAAGGACGAGTTATGAGTCCAAATGGGGCTGGACTGATCCAGACTATCTGCGTTTGGTCTGGTCTGGTCCTGTGCGATCCACCTCCCCTCTCCTGTGGACGAATGGGAGGCCCGGTCGCCCAGTTACTGAAATACTCCTGAAAAGACACATGAGAGACACCTGCGGTTTCTCACATCATCTTGTTAGTCACAAGGAGGACAGGAAGGAGGGGAGAGTGTGTCGTGTCCTCTGAGTGAACTCTTTCTCACATACCTGCTGAACGCTAGATGCCGCATATTTAAAACAGCTGCCGCCCACTGAGGAGAGGAGGGTGGAGCTTCCAAATGTCACATTTTTGTCATTGTTTCACTTTTTAAAACATTGCCTTTCCTGCCCTCATCAAGCACCTACTTTGAGATGTGGACTTGTCAAATTAACACTTAAACGTCCCACCTGATGTGACTAAATTTGTCTCTTTTTAAACCAGTGACTGAGGATGTTGGTGAGTTTGCATCATGTGTGTCCAGGACAAATGGGGATACCAAGGGGGGACTTCTTGTGTAGATTTTTCTTACACAACTTTATTTCAATTGTGTGAAAACAAAAGGACATTTTTGTTACAAAAATAAAAAGAAATTAAAAATAATCACTGCCTCATTATTCACATGAACTGTAAACTCATTTCACTGAGCACATGCAATACCAAAGGCATAGAGAGAGCTTGTTAAATACAGCAGCTTGTGCCAGTTCAAGCTACTGTTATCTTGAATCAGAATACTTTATTAATCCCAAAGGAAATTAATAAAGAACAACAATAAGCCACATTTTAACAATTAAATTGAATAGAATTAAGTGATTTAATTAGTTTCCTCTTAGTATAACATGAGAGTATAACATGAAAGTCATAATACTTGAAAGCATATAATCCTGTAAGCATAAATAAAAGATATGGCACTTACAGCAAACGGGTATTCAAAACGAGACGTTTTGAAATGCACAAAAAAAAATGCCCTGACTGAAAATCCACTTCATTGTCCACAGAGGGAAAAAAGCCACATTGACCAGAGAAGTGTACATTAATGTAAACATTAAGACATGGAGTGTTAAATTGAAAGGAGGAGGGGCTGTGATGAAGATTGATCCTCTATCAGAACAAGCGGCACAAAGCTGGAGGGATGTAGGTGTGCATGAGGTGCAGGGTGTGATCACTTTCACTGTGTCCTCAGAACTGACGAGAGGCTCCCTGATCCGACTGCAGCAGTCTGACAATGGACGGGTCGCTCTTGGCACCTTTAATGAACTCCTCCAAAGACAATCTGCCTGTGGGGGGGGAAAGAAAATGTCAGTTATGAGCAGTAAAACATGAAAATGTTTTACATGCAGCAACTACCCACAAAAATCAGCTACTGATGTTTCTTTTGAGATGGTAACAAATAACACTGCATTAAGTAGTTTAAAATAACCTAAAGGACCTGAGCCAGAATCATGGTATTCATAGCCGTCATGTTTCTTGTCCAGCAGGTGACGCTGCTGTATGTATATAACTCTATGCGAGTGCAGTTCTGCATGAGAGATGTGAAACCTTAACCATGTTTTACCCGAACATTCATCACTCTCATAGTATACATATGACAGAAATTAGGTAAAAACATATCAAGGTGTACTTTAATTTTGTTTAAAAGATTTTTTATTATTCTAAGATGAAACAGCAGAAAATTACACTTGTTTGAGTCTAACACCTACTTTTTCTTACATAATAGCATTAGATAAGAGGTTCACTCGCTCTGTAACTTACTGGGTCTGGTTTGACCAATCACACCAGTGCTACTACTGCCAGTATTCTGACTAACAGGAAGGCAGTGGGTGCCCCAACCTAAGCAAAGATCAGGTAAGGTTTCCCCAAGCTCCTTAGTGGTCTTGATTTCTGATTAGCCGGTTAGCTTAATAGGGCTTAAAGATTCATTTTAAATGTGTTAGGTTACCTTCAGGTGGCACTGACACCACCCAAAAAAAATGTAAAATTTGGACTTTACAAGTGGCCTGTGTTTGAGAGATTGTGTGATGCTGGGAACATCCTTTCTTTTTAGAGCTCCAGATGTGTTATGCTTTCAGCAGAATTTTATTACGTTGTTTTGGTCCTTGGAAAACTGAGTAAAGTAGTTCAATACAGTTTCCAGCTTTCATGGGTATGTGGAAAAAACATCCTTGAGCATCGCGGATGCAGCCTACAATTTACCCTCTACCCTCCTCTGCAGCTGTGGTTTCAGGCGTGGCATATGGCATCACATGATGTCTTAAAACGTCTGTCTGAGACACAGCTTGACCTTCACAATGTCAAAACAAAACACTCCTGCCCAGCACCATAGCTCCAGATATCTTGAGCTGTGACGTGTCAGATTCAGTAAGGAAAGTGCATTTTTTGATGTATCATTCAAGTCACTCTAAGTGTCAATCCATTTATGGTAAGCCTGTGGATCACCAGGCTGGGAGCCAATCATAACTACTTCGTGTGATATGACATGAATCAAAGTGCCAAAAGTGTTCTGCAAGTCATGGTTTTCATGTAAACAGCTGTTACATAAGTAATCTTTCACAACAGACAACTGTACAGAAGTCTTGCGTCACATGCGGCCTAATTTCTTTATATTTTGCTAGGAAAATACTACACTAATACTGAAGCATGCAAACATAAAGGTAAATATATACATATGGTGCGTGCAATATATATAAATATTAATATCAATATAAAGAGCAAAAACCCTTTATATTATACCCTAAAAAAAGTTTGAAGAGTCAGAAAGTCAGTATTTGGTTTGACCACCCACACTGAACTCTATTCAAACCACATTTCTTTTTATTTATTCCTAAAATAAGAAAATGGTACAGGGATTTATTGAAACATATTTGGTATGGTCGCCTTTGTGCTTCAACACTCTTTGAACTCTCCTCGGGAAGCTTTCTTTTCATTTCTTTAAGTAGACTTCAGGAAAAGTTCTGCATCCTCCAAAAGGTCATTCAAAACTCTTCTTTGGATGCTCACTCCATTTTGTTCCATTTTCTATCAAGATAATCCGATACTGCTTCAATAATGTTGAGGTCTGGGGAATGCCGGTCCCAAGCCCAGATAAATGGGGGAGGGTTGTGTTAGGATGGGGAGGTGTAAAGTTTTTCAAATCAAACATGCTCGTGGAAATATCGAAAAATTAACATATTGTATGGAAATCTCATTCTCATCAAGAATGAGATTTCTTGATGAGAAATCAAGAAATCTTGATTTCTCATCAAGATTTCTTGATTTGAAAATCTCATTCTCATCAAGAATGAGATTTTCATATCAGATTGGTCGGTGCTCAGGTTAACTACTACAGATGCTGTTAGCCAAGAGGGTGATGGTGGAAACTATGTTACTGTTGGCCAAAGACAAAAGAAGAGAGGAGGCTAATACTACGCTAGGTTAGTAGTGTGGAGGTAAGAGTAGACTTTTCAATGTAATGAATACGCATGCTGGCTTAGATGATTTGTCCTATTTCCTCACATTTTTTATACACACTGCACACCATGTAGAGATATGCCTGGATTTCTCTTTAGGAGCTCTTTAGGAGTAAATGTTATTTGTTCAAAAATACTACTGCATGCCTGTCAAACTTTGTTATGTTTGTCATTTTAACTGGATTCTAAGAAATCAAATGATATTGTATGTTTTTGCACCAGGCTGTTAAGTGCCTAAAAATCCAGTTCAAAATAGACCCTTGGCTAAGTTGTATTTTATGTGTAAACACAAGACTAGTCCATCGTCTTAGGTGGGTGCCCTTTTTAATACTTGATTCATATGTCAGTGCTTAGTGGCTTAACAAGATAACAAAACCCCCGAAAAGGTGTCGGGTTCAAGGACAGGACTGAAAACGAGTGAAAAAGCAGTTACTGTCCAAATAAAAAGTCTAGAAAACTTTAAAGTGCTTAAGACTACTAATAATTACAAAACAAAAAGTCTGACTCCTTGGAGACAAAACATAAAGAAATGAGGGGTGGCTCAAGACTTTTGCACAGTACTATATGTTTTTCTTTTTCTTTGTGGCCATATCCAACCAAGCCGATAGTGAAAACAAAAGTAAAGCACGAGTTAAAACAGAACTAATGACTAAAACTAAAACCAGAAGTCCACAATCTTGGTTTCACTAAAGCCACCTAACCTGCTTACGCATGCACTCTTGAAAAGTTAATATAAACATCAGATTTAGTTTTATAGTAGCTATCAGTGTAATGTTTATCGATACTCTTCACAGCATCTCTTCGCCATTAATAAAGTTTCAACAACACTTGTCACAACTTTACAATAACTATCCAAACAGTATTTATCAGGTGGTTTATGCACCAAATATACAATCACTGGCCACTTTGTTAGCCACAACTCTTCAGCTGCTTGTTAATGCAAATATCTAATCAGCGAGTCACATGGCAGCAATTCAAGATGATCTGCTGAAGTAGAAGATGAGAATCAGAAGGGGAAAGAAAGGTGATTTAACTGACTTTGAATGTGGCACGGCATGTTGGTGCCAGACAGGCTGGTCTGAGTATTTCAGAAACTGCTGATCTACTGGGATTTTCCCACAGAACCATCTCTAGGGTTTGCAGAGAATGGTCCAAAAAAGAGAAAATATCCAGTGAGCGGCAGTTCTCTGGGCCAAAATGCCTTGTTGATTTTAGAGTTCAGAGGAGACTGGCCAGAGCGCTTTACACTGATATGAAGGAAACAGTAACTTGGTTTATAATAATAGTTATAATAAATCCAGGTATGCAGAAGAGTATCTGAATGCACAACATGTCGAATTAGATGCAGATGCACTAGAGCAGCAGAGGATCGCTGCTGTCAGCTAAAAACAGCAAAGCGAGGCTTCAATTTGCACACAGCCTCATCAATATTAGACTAAAGAAAAATGTTGCCTGGTCTGATTAGTTGATTTTGATTTCGAAATTCAGGTTTTAACCGTCAGCATTTGGCATGCACAACATTAAAGCATTGATCCATCCTGCCTTGTATCAACAGTTCAGGCTGCTGGTGGTGTAATGGTGTGGGGGTTATTTCCTTTTGGGTCCCGTAATACCAACATTTAAATGCCACAGCCTACCAGAGTATTATTGCTGACTATGTCTGTCCCTTAATGAGCACAGTGTGCACCATTCCTCAAAGCTCAAATCATCTTAAACTGGTTTCATGAACATGATAATGAGTTCACTGTACTCAAATAGCCTCCAGAGATGCGGTGGAACAGGAGACTCGGATCATGGATGTGCAGCCAATACATCTGCAGCATCTGTGTGATGCTGTCGTGTCGATATGGAGCAATATTCCTCTCTGAGGAATGTTTCGGCACCTTGTTGAATCTACACAACAAAGAATTAGGGGTAGCTCTGAAAGCAAAAGCGGGCCAAACTCAGTGGCTGTGAATTTTACTAACAAGCAATTTAAAGTGTTGACTTTATTCTTCCCAATGTCAAACTGTCCATCTATAACAGGACCAGTTTTAGCTGGACCAGATGCATGACTAACATACTGATTAAGCATTAATAAAAAGTCGATTTATTTATTTACTGTGAAAAGAACAATTTGGTTCACAATGATGTATGCAGCACATGGAAATAAGACACCAGCCTTACCATCATTGTCAATATCCATCTGTCGAAAGATCTTATCTGTCCTTTTCTCTGGTGTTGATTCATCCTCGGGCATCTTCATCACTGATGACACCATCTTGTAAATTGCCTATAAAAAAAGACAATAATGACTCCTGTGATGTGTGTATTGATTTTGCTGGCTACGTGTGTGAAGCTTTTAGGGCGCACTGATGAAAAATAACCGTTGCCACTGACATCATTTTGCTTATATTGTCTGAAAGCTCTGACCTGTTTTCTGTTAGCTAGCAGATAATGATGTTGGTCTGACAACAAAAGATCCTGCCGTTTCACCCGCAGTAGGTCTTTCTGAACTCACTTATCTGATTGTATAATATTAAAATTTGATTAAGTAAAGGAGAGAAATATGTCATTCTGGAAAACAGAATGCTTTCTGCCAGCTGCAACAGCATGGCTTCTGTTATTTTTCCACATCATTCTTTTTTCATTTGTATTTATTACTCCCTGTATGCGATACCTTTATTTAGTGTACAAACAGTATTTCTTAAATTTAAATAATTATTTAAATGGGTGTGGTCCTAGCGCTCATTAGTATTGCTGCTGGTGTGATCCCAGTGCATGGTCTCTATTTTATTTATTTTTTTCACATTTATTTGTTTCCACAAGCACGAAGGACTAAGCCAATATCCAGGCTGCTCAGCCCACCATATTGGAAGAGTAAATATAACCACAGTGATAAGGAAAACAGAAAGGGCAGCCTGCAGATGACTGTTGAACCTAAAAACAGCCATTACCAGGAGGCTAAAGTGCATATAACAGCAAAAATTAGAGCTAAACTTATTTATTAACAGTCATAAAAAGAATGATTGAATAATATAAATATTTTTAGTTATTACTGATATAAGAAAAAACTGCATGTTCCAGATGCTTTTATTTGGCTTATACAATGTATTTTATATCTTTTTTAAAATTGTTTGACAGAAGGAAATGATATCGTTTCATTGTCTTATATACAGTAAAAGTGTTAAAAATGTAAAAAGTGATCGCTTATTGTAAACTAATTTACTCTCTTGACTTATTTTCCAATTCTCGTTGTTATTTGTCTAGATTTTGTTTATTAAAATGTGATAAGCTCACACACACACACACACACACACACACACACACACACACACACACACACACACACACACATAAAACCTCTGCTCTGTAGTATCAATCACACAGCACATAGTATGTCCTCACCTGAACTATCTCCAGCATCTCTGCCCGGCTGATATAGCCATTCCCATCCAGGTCATACATGCTAAAGGCCCAGCGTAGCTTCTGCTCCAGCCCGCCACGAGACGTCACACTCAGTGCTATGATGAACTCCCTGAAGTCGATTGTGGCATCGCCGTTGGTGTCAAAAGTGCGGAAGACGTGCTCGGCAAACTTTGAGGCGTCTCCGTAGGGAAAGAAGTTGGCGTAGATCTTCTTAAACTCGTCCACAGTCAGGTGGCCGGTGGGACAGTCCTTCAGGAAGCCGCGATACCACTCCTGCAGCTCATGGTCGGTGAATTCTGTGTTTTCTCTCAGGTCGTTCAGGACCTCAGGCCGCAGCTTGCTGTTCTGTTTCCCCATGACAAAGCACCTTTGCAGGCAGGGCGATAGCAGGGCTGGTGTTTCCTATCCTCCACTCCCTGTGCTTTTACTTTCCAGCTTCCTCTGCTCCTACAGGGGACCAATAACCCTCATTAATATCCCTGTGTGAATATCATAAATGATTCATGGGGTCAATAATTCCACTCAGTTTGCAGCAGCGTTTCATCAGAAAACATGTTCTGAGGATGTTTTTCAGGCAAACAAGCTGAGGGGGAAAAAGTCTGGATAATTCAAACAGGGTCCATACACAAGAAAAAAAAAGAGATAAGATTACAACGCAGATGTTAACAAAACACTATGTGTGTGCACACATGTGTATGGAGCAAGGGGGTGGTCTGGTCTCCGTGGATACAGTATTAATTGTCAGGCATGGTGATAATTTATCGACTTTTCACTGCATGGTAGAGGGACAAGTGTCCTGGGGCATTGTAATTCTCAATAAAGCCACTTTCTAAAAGGTCAGGCTGATACTGACTGTTGTCACTGAGAAGGCCAAACATTCATTTTGACAATAATCCTCACCTTCATGGGAAAATTAATCTCCTAACTGATTTTAAGAAGGTGGAATTGACACAATGATTAAAAAGCAAATTCAGAGAGCAAGTAAATGAGCATCCAAGTCAGTCCATAGACAAGTCCACTGGTTTTAAACTACAACAGCAAAGATGCCACTGCAGAACGAGCGATCACTGAAACCACATTAAGACACACCCTGTTTCAAGACATTAATCATTCAGTGTTAAGGAAAAAAAAAAGAGATAACTGTGTAATAACTGAAAGAGGTCTTTAAAGTTAAACTTTTCTCTTTGTCTTTTCTTGACTTTACTGTTCTTAACTGTTGTCTATGTTCTTGCAGTGATTTTATTTTAATGTCCTGTATTTACTGCTTTCATTTTCCTTAAATCTGTCAGTGTTTAAATGCAGCGTACCTGTTAACCTAACACATAAGCACGAGCGCTTGCTATAAATACGTACAGAAAAGACAAAGCCAGCGAAGCATTTGACCACCTGGTTCTATTCACGTTTGCTTTCTGTGGTTTGCTTCTGTTTCCATGGTTCTACTCTGTTTATTCATGTATACAGGGATATTCATGATTGGTGATATGAGGATGCATAAACACATCACATCCAAAATAAAACCTGCATAAAACTCATTATGAAGCAGACGCTGACACGTGTTTGCCGGTGAGCAAAAAGGTTTTGACATTTTCAGAGAAAATGTGTGATGTAGGTGTCATCATGTATATGTCTGCATCTTTATTTTAGGTGAGGAAGGTGTTAAGAATGTGCCACACTTTTCCCCCAAAAAATAACAAGAGGAAACAGCTGTTTTGTTTTGGGGGTTTTTTTGTAGAAGGAAAATGTTCTTACTTACAAATTGTCTGTTTGATTCTATGAAATTACCTCAAGTTTTCTTTTAGCATGGTTGGTTTGTGGCTCCGTGGGATAGAACGAGAAAGCAACTTTCACATTTGTTATAACGTTTTCTGGAAAACTGAGGAAAAACTGGCCAAAACCTGAGCTAATCTTTCACATGCATCTGGTAAAGTGTGAGTGGGAGGGACAGAAAGAGAGACGTGCGGGGGTAGGGAGGAAGAAAGAATGGAAAAAGTATGACACATAGAAGAGAAACTATTTCCAGCTATACTATATGAGTTGCTTTGCTAATACCCACAGTGCAATTATATAATAATCTTTCTGAATAACACCTCCACTCCTCTGTGCTGATATAATGAATTTATGGGAGAGAAGCTTTGTACCCATGTTCTCTCTCTTTCAATTACTGGGACCCCAGCGCTCCTGTCTTTCTGGCATCAGAACGATCCATCTGGCGAAGAACAAATGAGAGCGGCTTGAATTTGGATGAGATCCTTTTGAAACAGACGCCATATTTGTTATAATTGCCAGACAGGTGTAATTTCCTGTAGGTTTATGAATCAAAGTCACAGAATGACACAGAGGTCTGTAAGTCAAACAAGGAACTATGTCACTCAGGTTTCTGGACAGATAAAAATAAATCAAAGTACAACACAATAATACATTTAATTTCTCAATCCAGCTTTCTTTTCTCATGCAAACTGCATTCCAAAATTAGGAATTTGGCTTTGAATTGTCTAACGGTGAGTTCACAAGTGCATATCTGTTGACTGAAGGATACTACTGCTACTGCTACAGTTAATTTAGAACTGTAAACTTGTCTTTGGCAAAAGCCAGAGTATCTGGTGAGAACCCACTCAGCCACAGGTAGAAAGTGCAAATCCCACACAGAAAGTCTCCGGCTGGCTGGTGGACCTTCTCTCTGTGAGGCAACGGTGCTAACCACCCTGCCGCAGTGTCGGCCTGAATCAGGCAATCGTTAAAGTCACAAAGATTCATCCTTTGTGAAGGATGTCGATAAAAAATTGAATGGAAACACATCCATCCATCAGTGACCAGGCTGATCGACTAACTGTCCTGAAAGCCAAGGTGTTATTATTGCTTATACGGATTAAAGAGAGTGAAAGGCTTCTACGTCCTGTTGCAAAGAAAAATACTAACACATGACCACAAAGCAGCATTTTGTGGTGTCTCAGACACTTCAACATTTCACAGCAGCACTGAGCAACTAGAGAAAAGGTGATTATTATTTTGAGAATATATTATCATGTCTGCTGCCTCTGTTTTAACTGGACCACAGCATAAATCACACACTGCCCTACAGGCCTGACTATAGTCCTTCCGTTTTAACATACAACAGGATGCACCTCCTCAGATCTGTGTCACATGGACTTTTCCAGGACAGCTCAGTGCGCAGGCTGAGCCCGAGTAGACATAAATATGGGCGTTGCTATTTATTCCCTCAAACAAGCACAAAGCCACATGAAACACAACAGCTTGTCAGATGGAAAAATTGCTACCCTCATGCTTCAAGATCCTCTGAGGCTAAGAGAAAATACTCATAATATGCAACAGCATGTGCTCTAGCCTAGTTATTTTAGTAAGTAATAGCAACATACTTACATAAGGCTGCGGGTTGCAAAACAGTCTTACAGAGTGCAGTGACCTCTGAAATATGTTTATTAAAAACCTAAACAAACCCTTTCCACTGTAATTAGGCATTTTTAAAACATTCTTTATCAGATAACATATTTTTCTTTTCATTAAAACTGTTAACTGCATTAAAAGTATTCCTGCAAAAAGCTTCTTTTTTTTTTTTTACCTGCTGCAAGTTCTGGTAATTTCCTTTAATAAAGTGATTAAATAGATTTGCAGTACTGCTTATAACATTTAAAACATTCCTACTTATGCATGCAAGCTTTGGTCTGGGATTTCAAAGGCTGTTTTAATAAAGTTTTTTTCTTTGTTGTGACATAGAATTACTCAGGAAATGATGTGGTTCAGGGAAAATAAATTCCTCTCTGCCTTGACTGGTGGGGTTGCAGAGCTGGTGAGCTGAACACAGTCTTGTGACCGTTGCTTGATACACTACAGCCCCTCGAGATTGCCAGTTCACATTCAGTGTTTGCGGTTCCCTTAGATTACACAGCAACAGATCCTGTCCCTGTCCCCAACCCCCATAGCCTTCCTTGTTCCGTATGGTCCACTTTTTTCCAGTGGGTTCTCCGCCTAATGAGACTGTTTCACACAAGCTCCGGTGCAGCATGCATCCCCCCCTCCCCAAGGCTACAGCGGGGGTTCCTGTAAACCCGTTTCACTGCTGTTTGCCATTCTTAGACCCACTTTATTTCCTGAGTAGGGCTATGTCACAACAAAGAAAAAAAAACATTCTTTCCAACATGCTCATTATTTCACGAAGAACAGGAAGGAAACTACAATGACAGTCAGATACAGAGATGCAGCATGCATATGTTTAAATATATCTGTCCTTAGGTGTTTACAGAGAAAATAGTTCATGCTTATGTTTCCACCAGTTGTTAGTGAGCGTGGGAATCAAAAGACAACTTCTGCTTAAAGTCATATCTAAATGTACATAAGTAATTACTTTTTCTTAAAAAGGATACTATCGAGTATTTGTTTTAATTTATTTTCAGACAAAGCCTCTAAACTGTGAACATCCACTAGTATTCTTAGTGGATATTGTTAGGTTTTCCATTTGTCAATTAGTACAAATACAACAGACATCCCCACTCCTCCTGTTTTTATATTGCAAGCGGGCTCACACTGAACCTTTTCCCTTCATTAACTCTTGATAAACACGACTGACAGAATGTTTTTAATGCTCTCTGCATCGTGCCTCTTTTAAAGGGAATGTAATCCAAACAACCTGATATGGCTCAGTGCACAGAGAGAAAGCGTGCCCGTTTTAGCCTGCTCTGCAGTGGATGAGCAGAGCAGCGCTGTAGCCTCGAGTACGCGAACCACTGGTAACTGGGACTCCATCAGGTGGTTGAGGAGTTGGTGTGAGGTATTTATAAGCTAAGGAGAAAATGAGCTCTCCCATTATTCTCGCATTCAGCGGTGCTTCGTGGCAGTCTCTCTGAACTCATGTCAGAGAAAATCATTGCAGTGGATCAGGATGAGGTCCCCTGACACACCAGTAGTCAAGGCAACAGTATAGTAGTGCTACAGCTTATGAGGGAAAGGCAGTGTAACAGTCAATCTGGGGCACACGCAGGGCAGAAGATATATTGAGACTCGAGTGTGAGTGTGTGTGTGTGTGTGTGTGCATTTAATATTTCCTTACTTTTAAATCTGAAACATTAGTATCATATTCATCACTTGATATTACCAAGCATAATACTGCACTGGACCTAATCTAGATATTCTGCACGCTCAAGCTTACAACAGCAAAATTATTATGTGTATTTTTATTACTTTAACACTTGGTGAGTGGGTGTATTTAATTTTGGATGCGTACTCTTCACGTGATAGCTATGGTCTTTTTATCTGAAAAAAAAATGTGTGAAATTAACTAGAAAAACAGCAACAATAGTGTGAAATAGTAGATGAAAGGAGTAGGCTTTTAATATTTAGCAAGACAGTGTTTTAGATGGCAATCCCATAGCAAGAAAAGGAGCTGGCAGATCTTTATTTTTTTTCTAAGATGTCACACAGTGAGTATTTGAACTTATAATATTAACATTTTACCAGTTTCTGTAGCATTTTTAGGCAAGCTGTTATTTAAAAACTTGATTTGATACTTAGTTCATGTCACTTATACATGAAACCTTTAAAAAAAAAAAAATCAAACCAAGATGAATTAAATCCCCTCCCACACATTCAGCCACACTCTTTAGTTATAATATCTGCTGATCCTAATCACAAATATTTTTTGGACAAGCACATCTTTTTATGAAGCACAAAACATTGTCTGTTAGGTTTGATTTAGTTTATGTGCTTTCGCATACATTTAATACATGTGCTTCAATATTATTCAATGTGCCTTGTCTAAGGCTATTTTTCTTTAGCTAGATGCATACAGTCGATCACTTTAATGATCTGTTACTGTATATTTTTTACATGTTTGTATTGTATATGTTTTTGTAATGTAGTTATGTGGTGCATGTGTTTTTGACTTTTGCTGCCATGATTCCAGGTCTCTCTTGGAAATTAGATTTTTAATCTCAATGATATTTTTCACCTGGATAAATAAAGGACTAATAAATTAAATAAAACAATGCATTACATTTGATCAGGTTTTGTTTTGCAGCATGTAGTCTGCATTAAGACTTGTGAGCCACTAAGCTGCATTTTTGATAATATTTTTACTACTGGAATACTTTCCAGGGCAGATGAGATGTGTTTTAACTGGGTGTAGTCCTGTCTTGGGGAAATTGCCACAGCAGTCCAGGGTAGAGTAGCCACTGAAGCACAGTGGACTTCACAGTAACGAGAAATGTTTCTAAAAAATTAATATAAACTTACCTTTTTCCTGAAGGTATCTATGGGTCCTCCGGCTGAAAGAGTAAATGTTTGAAGCCCACGTTTCCCACTGTAAGGCGTCACCAGCAGCCGAACTTAACCGTTAACTTGCAGTAGTTTAACTTCACACCTCCTCCCACCGACTCCAACGCGAGAGAAAATATTCGAGTCACCCAAGCACTTTTCAGACAAAAGAAAAGATATGAAAAAGCGTGTAAGTATTCTTCCAAGATAGTTTTATCATTATTATTATTTCTATTCAGTATGTCCTGCTTCCAGCTCCCGGTGTAGCGGCTTTATCATTTAGTGGAAGATGTGGCACCCAGCTTGGTTTTTATCCGAATGTTCCATATTGCTCCTTGGCGGGGGGTTCCTTCGTCCGGGAGAGGGATTGAACCTTCTCCATCAATTGAAGAATTACTAACAATAGCAGTTTAATCGAGGGAACACTGAGTAAAAGCCAGAATGACCGTGACATGTATTTTAAAAAACATTTTAATTGCATTTCCTGTTTTGTAGTGTTTAAGTAATACTTTAAATCCCTCCCCCCGATACACTGAATGGATCCCTCCACACTCGCAGCTTCACTGTAAGGAACTGTCGCAGCAGAGTTCAGTGGAAAATTATCAACGGAGACTATTATTAGCTCAATATCTAAAATAAACGCTTCACATCTGGGGGAAAATGTGGAGACTTGGACAGAAATAGACTAAATAAACACGTCTACGATAACAAACGTGATTTAAAAGTTATTCTGGAATAGGCTAGGGCATCCTGTAGGCGACAGTTTTCCAGGCTTACTTGTAAATACTGTGGGCAATGTATTTTAAGTTACATTATACAACAGTATACAACATGTTATTCCTTGTAATTGAAACAGCATCATTATATCAAGTGTATATATATACAAGTCCCTGTAATATTGCTGTACAAATTGTTTTGTAGAATTAAGTATTAATGACGTAGACATAAGCTCCTTTCAATGCTTTCCCGTATAAGTCTTCTCTTTCAGCCTCGGCACAGATGCACACTGGTCCATCGGCATCAATAGCAGTAACTTCTCTTGCCCTGGTTAAAGTGACACTGAAGGCGGGATGGTGTATATGTCAGCAATTCAGTGAGAAGATAAATAATTAACTGAGTGCGTTTGCCTCTGTGTGTGTGTCTTCCTGAAGCCTGACACCTGTTTCTATAAGCACATGGAGTGTTTATCTTGACCTTAGAGTGGGTACAATACAGGAGGGGGGGATTGGAGGCAGTGATATAGCAGTCTGAGGTTGCTTTTGTTGCTGCTGCCAATGTGCAACTCAATACTGAAACAAAGCTGTGGATGGTGGACTGTGCGGATGGAAAGGAAAACAGTATTCTTTAAATAACATACCATATTACTTCAGGCTTCTGCAGGTCAAACAATTTCAGAAGTAAAACATAATTTTTATTTAATTACGGGGTGACCATGCTTATATTACCTGGCTATTACATAAATATAGACCTCAAGTAATGTGTAGTAGTAAGTAGTAGGAAGAAGAAAGCATACAAGTGTCTGGTTAAAACAAACAAGTGGACCCTGATAGTCTCATAATCGAATAACCTTTTTCACTGGGATTTATTCTTGGTGTAACAAGGTTTTAAAACTGAATATTTTCAGTAATGACAGTTCAAATAGATAGATGAGGAAATAGCATAAGCTGTGTGTGTCAGATAAGACACAGAGTTGTGTGCATTTTGCTGTCAGTTTTAAATATAGTACACATTTTTTTAAGGTGACGACAGAAGAGCTGGGTGTAGTCATGCAGAGAGGGAAGCGTTCTCCTTTTCTGCAGAAATGTAATGATCCACTAGAGGTCACCAACAGTTTTTGAATCTGCCGCTACTCCAGCTTGGGTAAGTATTCCTGCCTTGAAGCTGAAATTAGGCTGATGGGCATCTTTTAAAGGAGGAGACCGGGCTGTTTATTTGCTGTAGGAGTGTTTCTATGCACAGTCCTCTTTGCTGTTTATTTATTTATTATTATTGTTTGTTTGGTTGTTTCATTTGTCTTGTTCATGCATTGCTTCGGCTGTCTTATTTCCTTTGTGTTTGTCTGCATTGCTTCACTAATGCCTCATTAGGTTTACCTATAGCTGATTGCTTTCATCTGTTTTTAGCTACACCTTTAATTACTTGTCAACACAAATGTTAAATCAAACAATCATATGGCTGTAACCTAATGAATTTAGCCATGCAGACATGGTGAAGACGATCTGCTGAAGTCCAAACTGAGCTTCAGAATAGGAAGAAATTGATTTAAGTGACTCTGAATGTTGGATGGTTTCTGGTGCCTGATGGATGACTATTTCAGAAACTGTTGATCTACTGGGATTTTTCCACACAACCATCTCTAGGGTTTACAGAGAATGGTCCAAAAGAGAAAAATATCCAGTGATCAACAGTTCTCTTGATGAAAATTTCTTATTGATGTCAGAGATGGGAGGAGAATGGCCAGACTGCTTCAAGTTGACAGGAAGGCAACTGTGACTCAAACAACTGCTCGTCACATCCAAGGTATGCAGAAGAGCATCTATGAATGCACAACACACTGAATCTTGAAGCAGATTGGTTACAGCAGTAGAGGCCGACACAAGGCGTCTCTCCTGTCTACTAAGAACAGGAAAGTTAGGATATAATTTGCACTTGGGTTCACCAAAACTGGTCTAATGAGCTTCTATTAGGGCAACTTTGAGATGTGGTGGAAAAGGTGATTTGCATCATGGTTGTGCAGCAACTCTGTGATGGTATTATGTTAATATAGACGAAAATCTCAGAGGAATGTTTGGTTTCTTCACTAATGCAAATATTAGCTCATCTTTCAGAGGCTATCCAGGTTGCCTTAGTCTCCAGAGTGATTAGCAGGTTTATATGCAAAAACACAAAATAGAGACAGAGCAATAGAAATGAAATATACTACTATTACTTCATCTTACTGGGTCATCATTAATCTGTGAGTGAACCATCAGAGTTTCATGCTATTATGAAAGTTTTGGGTTATTTGAAGTTCAAGTCCTCACTTGTTCCCAAAATGAACACATTGCTTCATGAATCTTTTGACCCCCTGTTCTTCCTCTTTCTCTGGAAATTTTACCTTCTGGATGAATTGTCACAAGCGTCAGCCCACTGCTAAAATATCGAACTGTCTGTCCTTACATTAACTAGAGTGAGGGACATTGCTCCACTCTATAGACCTCTGTCAATATTTAAGGAACACGAGCCACTGATATCAAGGTTTATAATATGGGGTTATTCCATGAAAAACCAGTGAGGGGTCCCCTCGCAGAATCAGCTGATTTTTTTTTTTTCCTTTACAAACAACTCTGTCATATCTGGAATTTTTAAGGAAACTACGAGCCTCAGACTAGGAGCTGTTTTTAAAGTGTTTTATTGCAACTTTTACTAAAGAAATGGTTCTTAAACACACACTCGCTCATTCCACAAGACAACTCTTAACATCAGGGTGTAGACACTTTTAAAGGTTGGATACATGGAACTGGTTTATTCTGGCACTTGATCAGATTGGTATCTAGGAGTTTGGAGACCTGGTCTTATCATAAAACATGGAGGGAGCTCCTCAAGGCTCTCAAAAGTGAAGCCAGTGTTGAAGCTCCTTGAACCAGAATTCTAGCTAATGCCCAGGAGGGTGCACCTTTGTTTGCCACAAGTCAGTTTGTAAAGAAGACACGGTAAACATGATATTAAGGAATTTAAGGGTTAAATCATTTATAATCAACGCAAGTTGCTGGTTGTTTTGCAAAATATGATCCCATTTAGATAAAAATAGATGATAAGGCTATGCTTTAGGGCACCACTGCCTTATGTTTGGTAATTTGCTGTATCAATAGTTTTCTTAGGCACTTCCAGAACTCACCTGACTGCTTAAAAAAAACAAAAATTATTTGTCTGTTTTGTTTTTTTACAGTTTGGCATGGTTAAATTTTTTGGGTCGAGTATTGTTGTTCAACCAGTAAAATGCATTTGGAACTGCAGCTCTTCAATTAATGGCTGTGATGACATGCTTTTATTTTTAGCTGAAGCCAAAATCTGACATAAATTCTGTTTATACTTTGAGCATTTTAATTATTGCATATCATCACCTTGGTTTGCAGGAAAATACAGCAAATAAAGTTCTGCTTTTCATCTTTTGAGTTTGATTGTATTATTCCCTTTTTGTGGAGAACCTGTGCCATTTTCCCTTTTTATGCCAAGTCTCAGAGTATGTGGATGAAATGCAGAAAATGTTTTTAGTAATGACATTTAAAACATTTTAAAAGATACTGATTTGATTGAAGAAAAAAAGAGAAACCTATGCAGGCTTATTGGACATTTTGCAAGTGGAAAAACGATTCTGCACAAAGTACGTGATACACTGATAAGCTGCTTGTGTTCTTTGCACTACCTCACTTTCATTTGTACTGATAATGGCAGTGCTGAGTAGGCCTTTCTAGAAATGTCTGGGTGCAATAAATGTGTGCGAGCTGACTAAAATACCCCGTTAATGCAGTGTTAAATGTGTTTTTAACTTGAATATGTAATATTACAGATTTTGCAATTGAACTCAAACAAGCAAACGCCTTTCAGAAGAGAAGTACATGACATTTGTAGAAAAGAACACAGGGGAGATCATGAGATTTCCTGACAGATTTTTTTTTCTTGGGTAGTGACCGAAAGAACGAGATCGTGGATACAAGCGGCAGAAATGAGCTTCCTCCGAAGGGTGGCTGGCCTCTCCCTTAGAGATAGGGTGAGAAGTTCGGCCATCCGGGAGGGGCTCAGAGTAGAGCAGCTGCTGCTCCACATCGAAAGGAGCCAGCTGAGGTGGTTCGGGCATCTGACAAGGATGCCCCCTGGGCGCCTCCTGGGTGAGGTGTTCCAGGCATGTCCCACTGGGAGGAGGCCCCGGGGCAGACCCAGGACACGCTGGAGAGATTATATCTCTCGGCTGGCCTGGGAACGCCTTGGTGTTCCCCCGGACAAGCTGGAGGAGGTGGCTGGGGAGAGGGAGGTCTGGGCCTCTTTGCTTAGGCTGCTGCCCCCGCGACCCGGCCCCGGACAAAGCGGATGAAGATGGATGGATGGATGGATTTTTGTTTCTTTCTTTCTTTTTTAAAGATTCAATATAAACAACGCATTAATGATTTCTCAGTGGCAAATCCAAAAACTTAAAATGCATTACCTTTTGTGCTGGTTCATGTGCCCCATTGTTGCCCCAGTTTCAGACTGGTTATGAAACATTGTTACCTTTGCTGTTGAACATATCACAGCTATTCATCTCTACAGTAAAGGTTTTTTTTTTTACAGAAACTTCTACAATTGTACAACATTCTGCAGTTCCACTAGTTCACATTTTAATATTGTAGTGTACATCCCCACAGACACAGCTGCCGTGGAAGCAGAAGAGCATCGTATCAAGAAGTCTTGATGCATGCTCAATCATTCAAGTAAATCCCAAAAAGGGGAACATTTGCCCAAACACCCTGGAGAGGATAAAGGAAAGAAGGGCAAAGAAAAGCCACTTCTTTGCACCACCTTTATTTCTAGATTTTTTCACACACATTTGCCCCAGCTCTCCTCAATAGTTAACCTTATTTGCTCTCAGTAACAACCTTTTCTCTTCACAGACAACCACCACCCTTCTTAATGAGGAGCAGCTGTGAAGGACCTGAAACCTAAAGGCTACCTACAGATTTTTAAAAACACAATAAATATTCAGTAAATAATTAAACTCTTCTGTGCAAACGTTTTTCATATGCAAATCTATGCTCGAGGTGCAATGCTGAATAAAGTGCTAGATGAGTATCGGAACAGCTAAGACGCATTTTCTCTAAACACAGCCATGGCTTTCAAACTCTAAAACATGCTGTGGCAAAAATTGGTCGACTCCCAAGGATTGGTTATGTTGTTAAGTGCCAGGAGGATTGCCATGATTTATACATCGGTGAAACCAAACAACCTCTGGCTAAGCGAATGCCACAACACAGAAGAGCCAACTCTTCAGGCCAGGACTATGCAGTCTATTTACACCTACAGGCCAGTGGCTACTCTTTCAGTGGTGCTGAAAGATACTGTTTCTAAGTTTGGGTAAACCTGCAGTCAGCTGAGACTGAAGAAGTCACTTAGATGAGTGACAAAACGCTATGTCAACATGATTGAGCATGCATCAAGATATCCTATACATAATCTTTCTTCAGAAAACTCCTATACAAAGCATTGTGCATTACCTGTACTTTAATTCACACCTATGACACTGATATACCAATAGAATAATCTATGGTTTGTGTTTGCTCCTTTGAAAGGGGCCAAAATGAAAAGCTAGTAGTAAGGTTATACTTGCAGCTATAAACTGTTCTGTCAGAAACAGCATTAACCTGACAGCAACTGGTATCAACTCTCTTCAGTAATACTGTTAAATATCAACCATTTATATGCTAGTTAAATAACATAATTTTTATAAACAAAACTCAGACAGTCAAAAAGCTTCATGGTGCAACTGAACAATGTAACATAGAGGGGAGCAAATATATCACTAGGGCCAAAACTGGACGATATTTATTTAGCCAGTGTTTGTTTATTTGCTCATGTATCGGTGTTGGTATTTATAATAGTTGATAAATGAAAATTTTGGTCTTCATGCAAATAATGCAAAAATTCTTGCACATGGGAATCTTTTATATCTTTTATCTTTTTGTATATGTGATACATTTTGTCCTACTGGAATGGTTCTATCAGTGGGGTTAGGTTGATCTAAACTGCTATCTGCTACTGACAAAGCTGACGAGCAATATAACTTTAACTGATTATGCTGGTTTATGACACAGCAATATTCTGAGCATGACTTCATTGTCTGGACTTTTAACCAATGTTTAAACCATAAGATTGACAAATAGGTCAGTAAACAGCAGAAGAGTTCAGCGCAAACTGTATTACACAATTGACAGTGTTGCAGGGTTGTTTTTTTTTCAATACAATATTTTTTTTATTCATAAGTAATATTAACATTAATGGTACTAATAATAATAACAATGACATGTAATGACATATAAAGGGCTGCATGTTAGACACAGGCGGTGGTTAGCTCTGTCTGCTCACAGAAAAAGCTCCTGGTTGGGGTCTTTCTCTGTGAGTGTGCATGTTCTCCCTGTGCCTGCATGGATTTCCTCTTGGTACTCTGGTACCCACAAACAAGAGATATGCTTGTTTAGTTAACTGATGACTGAAGAACAAAGAGACCTTCTGCCATTTTGGGCTATTTTGCTGAAAATGACAGGAAACTGCAGCATCACATAAGAGTACGCTCTAAAAAAAAAAAGCCCAAAAAATATTTTGTGATTTTTTTTCCTTTTCTACTGAAAGTGTGTTTTTTTTTTCATATATGTTGATATAAAAAAAAATAGAAAACTGAATAAATAAATAGCACAATACAAAAAACACAGTTTTACAATAATGTAAAACACAGCCTTACAGATAAAGGAACACCAGGAGATTTCTATATAAGTAGACTGAGCAGGAGAATAAAGCTATAATCAAAGTCTAGGCTGATTTAAACCCTAAAAAAAAGTTCCATGATTAAAAATCTACCAGTAATTTAAAAAAATATTTTTCCAGTAACTGTTATTTTTTTCAAAGGGTTTGCACTTTTTGCATCTGGATTTCTTTTCAAATAAAACAGCACAAAGCGCAGGCAGCTTATAGGTACTTATAGACAGATAAACATGGCAAACTAGGAAACAGGGCAGGACTACAAAGAATCCAGAAGAATCCATAACTGCACAGATTACATGATGATACCAAGTGTGGCCACATCGTTTCCTCTTAACTATTACACCCCCACAAAGATACTGCTAGATGAATTTTCCCCCAAAATGTATTACTGTGGAAGAAGACCTGATATTTTCTGAATACACTGATGGAGTGATCATCACAACATTCAAAGCTTATGTTGAAAACTACTAAGTACCTCAATCCATACTGTTTATTGGGAAAATTGATTCACTAACAGGATCCTAGACTACATTGTAACATCTTAAAAGAAAGAAAGAAATACATAACAAGGTTTAACAGTACTTGCAAAATATCTCCAGTGGTATCGACCTTTATGCCAAAAAATTGGTTGGGCAATAGTACTTGCGGCTAACTACATACACCTGGGTCACAGAGTTTAGATTCAGTTTTATTTATTCGTATTTTTTAATTATTATTTGGTACTCATCTGATTTTAAAGAGACCAAAATTGGTTTATTCATCCTCTGATGACTCTGGGGTGTTTTCCTTCTCTGAATTCTTTGTCTCGTTCTTGACCTGATTATATCTTTCATATAGTATGCAGACTCCAGAAGCTGATTAAAAAACAAAGAAATGAATGGAATGGTTAATTATAAAGTCCCTGTTACCTGCAGAACATTAAACCAAGACAAAGACACACTGGATTAAAGAAAATGGGGAATTTATAATAATGTAAACATAAGAGTATTTTGCATTAAAAACAGTGACATTAGTAAGAATGAATTTTTCTATTTGCCATATTACTGTTGTGTGCATTGCTGGTTTTGTGCAAAAACACCAGAAACAGCTACCACTAAATATTTGAAGTATTTCAAATATTAGCCAATATGTTTTATAAGGTTATATAGTTTGAGTACTGTTACTTATATATACATTGGTAACCTTTTTAAAGTACACAGACTTACATTAAGAATCGTTTGGTGATTCATGTTGTTTAACTGCTGAACAGCTAGAAAAAGTCCAGTCTCAAGTACTTAACAGGACTTTACACAGAAAACTTGCAACTTAGAAGATCATATAGTTTAATTCAGTTAGAATATTGTTATTGCAAAAGAAAAAATAAATAAGCTTTAAATTTAAAATGGAAAAGGACAAAAGTGTTCGCTTTAAGCTCCCTTTGGACTCTGTGTTAGTTCAAACATTATCAGCATCCAACAAAAAGTACTGATCAGGATATATATTGCAACAGACCATTACACAATGTTTAGATGTAACTCTGAGATCAGTGCACACATAAAAAAAAGACAATTTCATGTTTTCAAGAATTTGTATAGTAATGGGAAATGTTTAATATAGTGCAATATAAATGATTGAAGTAAACACCATTTACAAAAAATAATAATAATGCTTAAGACAGCTCAAGGTTATTACTGTTTATTTATTGCATGTGCCTTTCATGCCACAAACAGAATAGCAGACCCTATTCAAACAACTAATCAAATTTTGCAGGAACCTTTGAAACTTTGTAGCTCAAAGTTCAGTGTCCCAACCCAAATCAAGGTCTGCAAATGTTTTTGCTGTTGTCATTTTTGGGCTGTGGAGCAGAAAAACAAGCATCTAACTTCATTACGCTGTAAGTATTATTATTTTTGTTGGTTGGTTGGTTGGTTTTTTACTGTAAAAAGTAAATGTAAAGCAACATTGCCATTTTAAACAATGTGTATAGTGCAAATATGTACAGGAGTGCATTTATTATGTTATATAATCTAAGATTTTTTGCTAACTTAAGTGTTTTTACGGCAGTTTTTACCAATCACTGCAGCCTAAAATGAAGCAAGTAACACTAGACAATTAATGCTACCTTTTTAATCTTCAATTTTTTCAATTTTAATGTGTGCAATCTCTCTGTCTATGAATCAACTGGAGTATTTTAGAGTGTAGAATTGCTCATTAAATCTATGCCTTTATACGCATTCACAATCACTAACTGGAAAGTGTAAGAAATAATATGAATTGTTGGTGGTGGGTTATTAGCACACTATTAAGAATGTAACAGCGTGAAGAATAAAAACAACGCGAAAACTAATTAGTAGCTATTAGATGATCTCTTAAGACTAACCCTTAATATCCAATCAGTGAATGACAAACCACATTAATAAAAGAAGATTTTTTTTTAACACAATACATCCGTTTTCCATGTCTCGTCTTTTAGCTCTAAGTGTGTTTTAAACCCTTTTGCCTTTGTCCCTCCACACACAAGAGGGTCAGGTGGACTTTGAGCATTCAAAGAATTGTCTGTGCCTCCCAGTCTCCCAACAGGGCCCACCTGAGAGTATAAAAGCCTCAAGCTGAAGTACAAAAAAATCAGTCTCATTTTGGAGTGCTCGTTGACCCAAAAGGAGGGGGCTTCAACGAACCAATCATGGGGGACTCAAAGCTCTGCCTTTTGCTGCTCCTCAGTACATCTGCCTTGACTTGTGAGTAGTTCCTAAATTCTTTCAGTTTAAAAAAGTATTTTCTACAGCGTTAAAAAGGTTGCAATAGATATCAGTGTACTGTAGTCTTTGCCGAATTGTTGAATGAAGGTTAAAAAAACATGCAACAAGTACAAAAATTGGGAAAACACAAAACATCTGATGGTACTCACCTATGTGTAAATCCTTGCTAGGTTATTATTAGGCTTGGTAGATGGGTTTAAGTTGTAGTGCACTGCGTTTTAGTTGTATTACAGGTGCTAAAGCAAATGATTAATCTTTGTTTTCCAGTTGCACAAGATCGGGATCAACCAACCTGTCTCTGTAAGTTCATTTTGATGTTGACATCAAGTTTTCACAGTAGCAGTAGTTTCCAAAAGATAACTAATAAATGATTTCTCATTACTCTAATCTCATCTCTCCTAGTGGCTCAAAGGTACAAGAGCCTACACAAGTATGAATACCAATATGAAGCTGAATCTCTGAATGCTATCAACGGAGCCTCACATCTCAAGAATGGACACAAGGCTTCCTGCAAGGTATGAGAAACACCTCACGATGATGCTAAATCATCAGTTTTCCCCTTTCCAATCCATGTATTTCAGAAAAAGAAATTTCCCTCCTCTCACAGGTTGAAATTGAAGTGCCTCAGACTTGTAGTTTCATTGTGCGCACTACTGGCTGCAGGCTGAGTGAAGTCGTTGACACGGACACACAGGGTAACCCTGTGTTTGCCAACAGCCCCAGCTCTGATGCCTTTGCTGCTGAAATGGAAAAGTATGTAATTTCTCCATGATAATTTAAACCATTGAAAAAAAAAAAGTGGTATATTTGGAGACTGTGCACTGTTTTTTAAAGGTATCCCCTGAGGGTCGTGATTGAGGGTTTGTATGATGTGAAACTGTACCCTGAGGACGGTGAAACAACAACTGTCCTGAACTTTAAGAGGGGTATCATCTCTGCACTGGCTGTTCCTGTGCTGGAAGAAGACAAGAACAAGAATATGGTACAACACTTTAACAACATTAAACCACATTTTATATTTATTAAAAATGGTTTCGTAATCATATATTATACATCTTTATTTAGTTCATCTAATCTTTACCATATTCGCTGCAGCCTACAATTCACGGCAACTGCAAGACCCACTACACAGTCAATGCTAGAGAAGACATTGCAACTGATGTCAGCCTAAACAGGGATCTGTCCAGATGTGACAAATTTGTCCCAATGAGAGATCACACCAGCCCCTTGGCTCTTATCACCGGCATGGTAAGGCACCCAAAGACAAGCTGTGAGCTGAAAACTTTAAACACTATGACAAATCAAAAGAGAAACTCTACCTTTGTTCGTTGTACTGTGGTATTAATGTGTCTTAACACACTAGTGGTTAAATTTGAGCTATAATGGAAAGAAAAGCCGAATTGAGTATCTTTAAAAAAAAAAAAAATGTAATGCCTTTACTTTTGCAAAAGATTACACAAAAATGTGCCAACACAAATATCCACAATGCTAACATCCTCATCTATAACTTTTAAGCACTACCCTCTTGCTCAGCTGATCAGAAGCTCCCAAACCTGCAATTACAGGTTTGACAATGAGAAAAAACACATGACCTTTGGGTCCTGCACCGAGAACCACATCCTCATTCCCTTCTCATATAAGTAAGTCAAACCTTGTACTAGACTCTACTGAATGCTCTGCTATGTAAGTACACACAGGGATATGCATTTGTTTTGTTTTTATCCCTGTTTTCTATATTTAAGGAGAGAATATGGAGTTGCCAATGTCGGAAAGCAAGAGCTCACGGTGGTTAAAGTTTCTCCTCACAATGACAGAATCTTTGCTCACGGTAAGCCTTTTCTGTTTAATTTGCTTTGTTTTGATTTGTTATAACCACAATGTAGTGCAGACTCATGATAATCTTTTTGTTTGTCTGCTAAGGTGTCATTGTCAAGGATCTCCACATGGAGGCTGTTGAGGACAAGAGTTTTGTACAGGATAAAGATGCAGTTCTGAATCTCCTGAGAGAACTGGACACTCTGTCTGAGAACGAGGGTGAGAAGAGGGCTTCCCTGTTCCACAAGCTTGTCTCAACGGTCCGTGGAATGAAAACAGAAACCTTGAGCGCGGCACTCCCTGAGGCTCTTGCGGTATCCCGAGTCCTCACCTACCAGGTACTGGCTCAATGTGGAACGCCTGAATGCAGCAGTGCCATCATGAAGATCCTCAGGACCTTTGACACCAACGCTCTTGAGGTTGATGCGACTGTCTTTGCTTTGGGACTCGTGTCCAATCCTTCTGCACTCTTGATCCACGATATGCTCGAGATGGCCAAATACAAACCCAGCAAGCCTGTCATGTATGCTCTGAGCAATGTTGTAAAGAGGTAAGCAAATTAAATCAGACTTTATTCAAGGGAAGATTTATCAATAATATTTTACTAGTTCTTTCTTTGTGAAATACATTTTAGAGGCTAAATGTTGTGTTTTTTCTTTTAACAGGTTTTACAAGTCTGAAGGAAGGCAAATTCCTGAGATTCACTCTGTTGCGGAGTTCATGGCTTCCCAGTTGGGTGATTGCTCTGGAGACAAAGACAAAACTTTTATGACACTCAGGGTAGGTATTCTGCCCATAACTTCAAATTAAAGTACTGTTACTGTAGAAATAAAGTTAGAGAATTACTTTTATGATAATTATGATTGTTTGAAGCAAAAATATATCAATACATATTGAATCTTGATGATACAATGTTTTTATTAGCTAGGTGGTTGCTAGGCAACAATGATTACAATGTAACATCTGATATTGAACCTTTAGGGTTCTCAGCTGTACCTGTCTGCCTATTTGTTTTCTCAACTCCTGATTGTGTTGGAGGAGTTCGCGACTACAGAAGCAAGCAAACACACACAGACACAGATTTCATGTATTATAGCAAAATAAACAGAAATCAATGATATACATTTAAAGGGTAGATCCTTTGGAGCAACACGCTAAAATTGCCCATTACAAAACAAGATATCATAATCTCACCTGTAGAGCATGTTGAAGCATGCATGAATTTTTATTCTTCTTCATGTGTTGATTATTTGCTTTACTTTTTATCTTAGGTTATTGGAAACATGGCTCCAGCTGTGGTACCTGCTAGTCCAGCACTCAGGACTGCTGTGATCAACTGTGTGAACAAACCTACAGCTTCTCTGGCCGTGCAACAAGCTGCAATTCAAGTGTACAGGCTGACCCCTCTCCCTGAGGAGGTAACCTATTTTTAAAAAAGTTTATTTTAGAAATTCTTGAAAAAGTAGTTCTCAAATAGTTACCTAATCACTTGCAGGAATTGTTTATTTGAAGAATTTCAGTCAAGATTTACCGTGCAACAAAGCACAGATAGAGCACTAGTGAAGAGTTGCAACTCAGTGTAGCATCTGATATCACTGATAACAAAAATGTATTATAAAAATTATCACATAGCAGGAGTATTAAATGAAATTTTTATGAAATTCGACAAAGTTCTGTGCGAACTTACAACATACATGTTTCCCTTGGATAACATTATTAGACAACACTACATACAATTTCATTGCTATGCAGATGACACCCAGCTTTATTTATGGATAAAGCCAGATGACACATGACTTGTAATGTTTTCTCCTGAATTTACCTTTTGACCAGGATATGTCCTTCAGTGTGAATATTAGACAAATATCTCAGACCTCTTTCTGCTTTCATCTGTGCAATATCTCTGTAATTAAAAATATCCTTACTCAGAATGAGTTGGGATACATACACTGTGAGCACTTCTTCACAATTCTACTCATCTCTTTTGTCTTTCTACATCATGGGCATGAATGTCATGTTAATTTTATGAGTTTAATGATTCCTTTAAATGCCAATAAACTACCAAAAGTATATTTGAGGTGCATCTTTCTAAGGGACATTTAATCAAATATTTATTGGGGTGTATTTATACTGTGTAGATAATAGAAAATCTGAAATAAATTCAAATTTGTGTCCCCAAATCTTGTTTTTTAAAGACTTGAAAGATGTATGTTGTACATTCATTCCACCCTGGAAAAAGAACATTTCAAAGAAAGCATTACAAGTCCCAAATTACTGTGACATTCATGCCAATAACGAGTACATGTAAACTTTTAACCAACACTCTACCAATGCAGCATGTCATTAAATTTGGTCTCCTTTCAAGTCAGACAATTAGTCAGACCCATATAATTTCTTTTTTTTTTTTACACTAATTTTTTTTTATGTACTTTGGGCACAGGGCAGAGAGGAGTTTATGCAGGTTCTTCTGGACAGCACTAGTCCCATGCAAAAACGTATTGCTGCATATCTGGTACTTATGAAAAATCCTCAGCTAAGTGAACTTGCCCGGGTGCAGAATGCCTTGCCCAATATACAGGACCAACAAGTCAAGAGCTTTGTCATCTCCCACATTACCAACATTTTGTCCTCATCTGGGTCAGAGACTCAAGCGTAAGTGAGAATTATTGGTAATTAGAAAGTTGTTATTCTAATTCGGTGACAATAACTCGACTATTTTTTTCTACAGGCTGAGACATAAGCTTCAGAATGCCATTCAGGGTAATGAGATTGGGCCCATTATGGACCCCACAAAGTTCTCTCGCAACTATAAGTTTGGATCTTTGGAGGGCAATATGATCTTTGAGGGTACAAGCTACCTGCCCAAGGAGGTCATGCTTGAAATGACTCTCAAGGCATTTGGCTATGACATTGATATGGTGGAGGTAATGATTTTGGGCCATTTACTGCAAATTGAGACACTGTTTTGAAATGTTCGGTTTAACAGAATAAATCTGTCACCTTTGAAGATCGGTATGGAGGGGACAGGATTTGAGCCAACTGTTGAAGCTTTGTTTGGAGAAAATGGATTCTTCCCTGACACTGCCATGCAGACTATGTATTTTGTGTCTGACAACATGCCACACAGGATCCGCGAGGTCATGCAGAACGTGATCCCTGCTTTCAAGGCGGACCGGATAAATAGACAGGTATTTCAGTTGGACACCTTTCACCACAACCTAGAAAACCCTGTAGCTAGCCTGGCCCCAGCAGTCAGTGCAGGTGAGGGTAGCTTAGCCACCATTCGCCCTCCCCCAGCCGACTGTCCCGAGCAGCCATAGAAAACAGGCTGGCTAGGGGACCACGAGGAGGAAACTTGATCCTAAACAGAAACCTACACACATGTTGAGGAACAAACTGTGGATATTGGTGAATCTGTTTTGAGAAGTGTGATGTTAGAGACACCTGCAGCAATAGTCAGTTATCTTCCTGGGGCCAGAGCAGTCGACATTGAAGGAACCCTGAAACTGCTCTCTAAAGACAAACGTAGACTCGGTAAAATTATAATTTATTGACTCCCATTTCCATGAATTTGACATCTGGTGTGTAACGTTGCTAACACATGTTGGACTCTAGCTTTCTCTGTTTCCCTCCCCAATCAGATTAGGAGTGACATGTTTAGCTACATGTTGTCCTTAAATTGCCCTCTATCTGAGTGGTGTCCATAAAACAATGTGCGTTTTATAGACAATTAGGAAACTTTCTGGTGAATACCTGGTCTTGTTAGAAGGGATAGCATCCATCCCGCTTCAGACAAAGCAACTCTGATTTCTAGAAATCTGGCTAAATGTATTAAATCCCCAAAAACATGACTATGCAGAATTTAGACCAGGAAGTAGAATTGCAGTGTACACCAGTTTTGGTCAAGTTACTTGAAAAAAGTAATCAGTAACAAATTACTCATTACTTCCCCCAAAAAGTAATCCCGTTACTTTACTGGTTACTTATTTTCAAAAGTAATTAATTACTTAGTTACTTTTTAAAAACACGATTTACAACCTGAATAGGTGATAAAGCGATAGATCTTTCAGCCCAATTCTACTTTTTCTGCATAATCCATCATACAAAATGTAATCAAATGGAAAAGTCTCTTTTTAAAACTTGTTTTATTAGTTTTAATCTTTTAACTTTATGCATCAAGCAAAAATTTAATTATATGCAACATTCTCTGACTGGAAGAAATTTGTTTAACATTTAAACCTATTTTCTGCACATTCCAGCACATAATAAAATATTTTTTTGTGTTTACACTCACTCTTTCAAATAGATGCAAGTAAAACATAACAGAAAATAAATAAAATCAAAGACTAGCGGTCCTGTTGCTCTATTTTCACCTGTAAAGCAGGAGTGGGGTAGGCGGAGGTTCACCCTGGTGCAGGTGTGCCGCTGCAGGCAGTTGAAGAATCCGCGAGTTTCTCTGTGAATTTCCCATTACGTCGTAGCACACTCGGTGCTTGCTTGGAAGTTTAGGGGTTTTTTTCGCAGTAAAAATAAGTTTTCTTCCCACGCACAACAGACACTAATGTTTTTGTCACTTTTTGTGGAATCAAACTCAAAATAAGGTCAGTACTTCCACGCTTTAAACGCTGCATGCTCATACTCTCTCCCACACTCGATATATTATCCATTGTTGATCTGCACACAGCTGTTATCACGAACGTCGCACTCGCTTACATCACTGTAATGAGATATTCTCGCAAAAAAAAATCACGGTTTTAGTAACGCTGTAACACAGTGTGCTTATGGGAAAGTAACGGTAATCTATTTACTTTTTGCAATAGTAATCCCTTACTTTACTCGTTACTTGAAAAAAGTAATCGGATTACAGTATACGCCCATCTCTGGTCTACACACATATCTGCATCTTCTCTCCTCCTGTTCTCTCCACCCCATCCCTATACCCCTTGATACTGTTGAGCACAGTGTTGTATTAAAAAGATTACAGCATTCTGTAGGAATTAAAGGTACTGTGCCGCAGTGGTTTGAATCATATCTATTAGATTCCAATTTGTTTATGTAAATGGGGAGTCTTCTCACACGCTGAGGTAAATTACGGAATTCTACAGGGTTCCATGCTAGGACCAAAACTGTTTACATTACATTGCTCCTCTTAGGTGTAGCATACATTTTCATTACTATGCAGATGATACCCAGCTCTTTCTATCCATTCCCTACTTCTAAACTGATATAAAACTTAAAAACCTTAGAAAAATGGTCTCTAATAAGATAACTGCATGAATGGCATTGACCTCCAGTGACACTGAGGACTCTTATGGTAATTTCTAACAAGGATATGTCCTTCAGTCTGTATATTAAATAAATATGTAGGACTTCTTTCTTACATTAGTGCAAGATCATTAAAAAAAATAGGAAAATCCTGCCCCAGAGTGATGCTGAAACACTAGTTTATACACTTATTTCTTCTTTCCTGGGCCTGGTTTCTTCCGGTTACAAGGGAAGATTTCCTTCCCGCTTTAGCCAAGTGCATGCTCAAAGGGGTTGTTCGATTACTGGAGTTTCTCTATATTAGGGTCTCCACCTTATAATACCTTACAATACACCTTGAGACCACTGCTGCTGTGATTAGGCATTATATAAAAATTGAACTGAATTGAATTGAAGAGCAATCTGTTTTACGTTAGTCAGACTTTAAATTAATTATGAACTCTTTCAGTGGGTAACTTTTTAAATTGTTTGCCTATATTTTGGCCTCCTAGAACCTGATGAAGGAGATCGGACAAAATCTCAACAAACTGGTGAGAGAGCTGAAGACCATGCAGTCTCCAGAGGCAATGGTTTATCTGAGACTTTTGGGAAATGAGCTGGGATATCTGAAGACCAATGAAATGGAGGAGATAGCCTACTCTGCTGCTACGATGATCAACAACATGTTAAAGATGTTCCCAACTGATGTAAGATAAAGTTAAAGGACATTCACAGTGAGCAATCAATTGCTAATGATTTAAAGATTCTATTATACGTGTGTTTTTATTTTCCACAGTTAATTAGAGCACTAATGGTGAACTCTGACAACACAATCTTTGCCCACTACATCTTCATGGACAATGAGTTCTTCCTGCCTACTGTCACCGGTGTGCCTCTGAGGATTGCACTCTCTGGTACTTTTACACCCGGTATCAAGGGTGGACTGAGGATTGCTCGTGACATGGTAATTCTCCATAAATATATTTAAATGCCACCTGTCATTTTTTTTCACCACATCATCACAGGTGTTAACCTTTCTCCTGTTTCCACACAGAGTGAAGTGACCTTCATGCCCTCTGCTGGTATTGAGTTTGCAACTCAGATTGGCTCTCACATCCCTGAATATGTCAACTCTGGATTAGAAATGCACACCAACATTTTCCATGAGAGTGGCCTGAATGCCAAGATCACCTTTGGTCGTGATAATATTAAGCTGACCATCCCTGCTCCAACAAGTCCAACAAAGCTCATCAAAATTACGTAAGCGAGAGCTAGACCTTTTATATATTATGTAACTTTTCTCCAATATGAATGCAGAGAAAACAGCTGATTAAATCTTATCTTGAATTATAAACTGGCCAATGTTTGTCAAAGTAAAATAAACAAAGCTTTGTTTATATGTATCTTTGATTAAATTCATTTAGGACAGAATTATATTTTTCCTTTGCTACAATTCCTACTTAGAAACAACCTTGTGGCTGTGACGGGATCAGAGGTGAAGACCATCCCTCCTATGGTGAGGGACAAGGTTGATGTTAGTGAGTGTAGTCCTGCCTTTGTGGGAATGAAATACTGCACTGCTCTGCAATACATTGACGCTTCCTCTCAGGAGACAGTGCCCTACTTCCCCCTCACTGGAGACAGCAAGTTTGTAAAATATTCTTAACCAACAGAAAATAACAGTGTCTTAAATGTAATTATTTCATAAATAAATACTGTCCATTTAACCTAACAGATATGTTGTGGAGCTGCACCCAACTGGTGAAGTTTCCGAGTACACAGCCACTATTGCCTATGAACTCCTCAGCGAGGGAGACAATGACCGGCAGAAAGTTGATTCCTTGAAGTTTATTCTAAAAGCTGACGGTAATGTACAACATTTGATTTTTTTTTCTTTTGATTTGTTTACAGTTAAATCATAATTTTTTGGACAAAGACAACATTTTTATAAATTTGTCTTCTTACACCACCACAGTGGATTTTAAATTTGAATGCTTTAATTCAAAGGGTTTTAACAAGTTTTGCATTAACTGCTTAGAAATTGCAGAGGTTGTCATACATAATCCTCCATTTTCAACAGCTCAAAGTTGATTGGACAAACTACCGTAACTGTAATCATCCACTTGCACTGTGAAGACGTGTACAATCAGTGGCAACCCTGCAAACCTGTCCCATAACATTGCCTCCAATAGGTTTTACATATTATGTGGCATGCTTTGGATTATGAGCTTTTTCTTTCCTTCCCATACTTTTCTCTTTCCATCATTCTGTTGTCCAACAAATTATGGATGTAACTGTAACTTTAGTCATTCAATTGGTCAACAACAGGTGCAGAGCCAACCGAAGCCACAGCAGTCATGAAATATAACAGAAGGAGGCATGTCATCAGTGCCGACATCCAGATCCCTGACTACGATGTAGAGGCTGGAGTTAGGCTGGGTGTTGTGGATGGAAACACAAAGGGCAGAGGAACTCACGCCATCTTTCTCAATTTTTTAAACAAAAATGTTCTTCAGCTCTCCCTGGTTGGTCGTGCCAAGTAAGAAAGCAACTACAGATCACACACACATATTTTTTTTTAATCTCACTGCTATCATTAACAGCAAGATGTATATGTTCTTTCAGTCTGAAGGCTATGAAGGAAGGTATGCTCCAAGTCCAACTTGTGGTCCCATCAATCAGTGCTGATGCTACTGTCACAGCTACAATGAAACGTGATGAAGAAGTGGAACTGGAGCTTGAGAGTGAAATCAAGGTCATGGATGCCAACTCTCAACAGAAAATCAATATCAAATATGGTAAATTGCTTTTTCAGTTACAGTGTTCTAAATGTCCCATCACAAGTTATTTAACAGTTGCATATTGTTGCTTTTTTGTATCGAGGTATGAAAAATGACATCCTCCTATCTGTAGAAATATCTGTCACTTCATCATAGTTAATAATTGCAGCCTAAAAAATGGTTTTACTGACCATTTAAAGGCAACTATGATCAAGACAGAGTGACCCATTTCTAATAGCTATATGAAGGTTATGATATGATCTTTAAAATAAACAATCTGAATTTGATTTTTCTCATAAAGTTGTTCTGGATTTTATTCAGTGCTCTCTTCTTTATCATTTTAGATGCCACAAAAATTGAGGTTGAGGTCAAGTCGGATGTGAACGCCAAGACCACCATGTTGCCTAAGGGCGACTTGATTAAAAATTATGGCAATGATCTTCTTGACATGCAAGTGGCACAAACTGACATGAAAGTTCGTCATATCTTCAAGAAGTTTGTGGAGGTACATACATATTTGCTCAATTATACAAGTGTTTTTCTTAAAAAAAAACATGAACTCAAAAACATAGTACTTTATTAATCCTAGAGGAAATTTTGTAACAGTGCATATAATAATGGTTATCTGTTTTTAGGCAGCAAACAATTACATGGAAAAGTATGGTGCTGATTTCCCTTACATTCAGAACTTCAGATTGCCTGAAATGCCAGAGATTTCCCTACCAGAGACACTATTCCTGAATACGTAAGTGTGTTAAACCTCATGGTAAATATTAAAACTGTCTAATTTTTCTTTCTAAACAACCAGATATTTACTTTTATCTTTTTAATAGTGAGGCAATGGCCATCTATTACATAAACAATAATCGCTTCACAATTGCTATCCCTGTGCCACTTGGAGGAAAGTCAACAGAAGAGCTTAACTTCCCACCAGCTTTGACCACACCAGGCCTGTCTCTACAGCAGTATGGACTGGAAATCCCCTCTATGGAGATTTCCATCCCCGAGTTTGTTGTTCCTGAGAGCATCACGCTATCTATTCCCTTGTTTGGTAGAGCTGAGGTTTCAACAGTGATGAAAAGCAACTTATATGACACAGAGGCCTCTGTGGCTTTCGGCGTAGACCAAGATGAATCACAAAGCTACTCAGCTAAGTTTGTCATCAAAGGAACCTCCCCAATTGACATTCTTTCAATAAAGCTTGAAGGTACTTCACACTGAAGATCACTGATAAATTTAAAGTTGCTAATGTGTAGTTCAAATGAAGTGCTGTTTTTTGTGTTGGAATAGTTTTCAAGAGATTCTTGATGTATATATGGATATTGTATACAAGCAAATGGATCTTTTCTGGTAAAGTAGTCACCATAGGGATTCTGAAGTTATTAGTCAGCAATTAAGCATTTTTTTTGTTTTTTGTCCTTGTGTGTGTGTTTTTAATCTAGGCTCTGGAAAAGTCGCCACTACCGATTCCATCAAAGCCCAATTTGAAAGTTCTTTGGCCCACAGATTCGTTGAAGCCAGGATTAGCATTGTTGAAGATGCAATCATCTCTGATGCAATTAATTTGAAAACAAACACCAAGATAGAAGCCAGAAGTCCACTTGGTTTCAGTGTTGTCACAGAGCACACTGGTATGGCTGGAATAAACCATGAGGAAATGTCTGTTGACAACAAATTTCAGGTGGCATTTGAAGCTGGACCCATTTATGGCAAGACTCTCTCAATCCAGTCCTTAACCATCTTCCCATTCAGGCCAGAAGTAAAGTTTGATTCTAATTTTCAGGTAGATTCCACACTTGTTAAGGCCCTGAATGTAATTACAGGAACCTATATCAATGGGGAAGTCTCAGTTGCGTCTAAAACCAGTGCTTTTGATGTCATCACTCACAATGCTGAGCTTTCTATCAGAGATAGCAGAGTGAAACTGATATGTGCTGCAAATGCCCTTGCTCTTGGCATGAAGATGCAAAATCAGATAGAAGCCTCTGCTGGTGCTGGTGAAGTCATCTTGAGGATGGAAACAAACACAGACTACTCTGAAAATCATGTTTACTCTTTGCTGACCGCCTCTCTTGATGTCAATGGTCTGGCTATAAATAGTGATGCCAATGTGAAGCTTCTTGAAAATGAGGCTACTCATAAGGTCATTCTGAGAATGAATAAAGATGGTTTCACCACAAAAGGAACAACTACTCTCCATAGCCCGCTGTCCATGGAAAACACCTTTGATGCCGAGGTTGATGCTACAAGAGCTACTCTAGCCATTACCAACAGGGCTGCGATGTATGAAATCAAGGTTGACAACACCAACAATTTTACCTTAACTCTCTCCGGTCTTAACTTCAACTCAAAGGCTGAAGCCTCTGCAAGGGATTATGCCTCTTACACTCATGATATCACCTTCGACCTGAACCCCCACAGTGTTTCTTCAAATGTTAACAACAATCTAAATCTCCTGAGTGCTAACTTTATTAATCAGGCACAGCTGCAGGTAGGGCTTGGCAAGATGGATCTGAGTGGAGTTTTGAAAGCCAACAATGGTGAAGAAGAGCTCAAGCACACCTATCAGATCAGTTATGGTGACATGAGTGCTAATGCAAAGTGCAGCACGACTGGAAAATTCCTTGGAACTCACATGAACCACAACACTGAAGTTGAAGTTGTCGGCCTTGTTGCCATGATTACCAATGATGTCCGCTTTCACTCACAACCGGTGCGCTTAAGCCACACTGTGCGTTGCAATATTGCTCCTTTTGATTTCAACTTGGATGCCATATTGAATGCTGAAGGAGATATGGCCATTTATGGAAGAGAGAGTGCCCAGATCTACAATAAGTTTCTCTTTAGAGCTCAGCCCATGGCTCTTGCCAGCTCAAATGAAGGCAGGGCATCCGTAACCCATCAACTGAATAATGGGTTTTCCCTTGAGACCACATTTGACAACAAGATGATTACTACTTTGTCACTCCAAGAGCAAAGGACTAGTTTTAAATTTAAGTCTAAAATGAATGAGCACACCTTTGATCAGAACATAGATGTTTATAACACTGCTGAGACAACTGGAATTGAGGTTTCTAGTACAATCCTTACAAACATTATTAACACAGCTTCCACAGACAACCAGGAGTTCACTGTCTCTGGCTTACTCAAATATGACAAGAACACAGATAGTCACATAATTCAGATTCCAAATCTGTTTGCCCTCCTGGAACACATCAAGGGATTTCTTTTGAATGTTGTAGATGAACTGCAGCACTACATCAACAATGATAATATAAGGGCTAAAGTTGAGGCTCTCCCGCAACATATAAGTGACCTACTTACTGAATTGAATATAGAAGGCAAGATAATTCAACTGAAAGAGCTTTTCAGTCATTTAATTCAGAAATATACTATCTCCATGAATGATGTGGAAACATTTTTGAGGAACCTAAATGTTACTATTAAGAAACTACTAGCTAATCTCTCTGTTTACATCCAGAACTTTGTTGATGTGGTGAATGAAACTATTTTTAGTGGCAATTTCCCTGAAACCACCATTCAAGCAATCCAGGAATGGCTGAATAACCTTAATGAGGAATATGATATTGAGCCCATTATTGCATATGCAACTGAAACCATAGGAGAAATCATTCAAGTGTTTGACTTGGAAAGACTAAAGGGCAGCAGCTTTGCATTCCTACATGATATTGCTGGCAAGGATGAAATCAAAGCCAAACTACAGTCAATCCTCAGAGGTATAAAAGAAACATTGGAGATTTTTGTTGCTGAGCTAAAGAGCTTCACGTCATCCTTAAAAGCTCATATCGAGTTATTAACGAGCTACATTCCCACGGAAATTGTCAGCCACATAACAGATTTTATTCAGAAAATTATTCAGGACTTTGATATTGTAAATAAGCTTAACACAATAACTTCCAAATTAAGTGAACTGATTGCAAAGCTTGAAGCTGACAAAAATTTTCTAGCAATCTTAGATAAAGCTGTGGAGGTCGTGAAAAACATCAAGATTGACGAAACCATCACTAATCTCGCTACTGTCATAACAAACTTTTATCGTTTTTTAATGGATTGCCATGAGTTTACTATCCACTACTGGAAAAGAAATGAAGTAAAAGAAATAATTCAGGAAATTAACATGTTTATTGAAATGATTGTGGAAGAGCTTCAATCGTTTGATTATAAAAACTTCCAGGAGTTTGTTAATCTGTCTGCACAGATCATGAATGAGATTATTAGAAAACATGAAATTCTTCTTGGGGCAATAAGAGATTTTGTCAATACGGTGTTATTGTCTGTTCGAGACCTTTCAGAACACTTAAGAGAAATCAAAGTAGCTGAAGTTTTTAAAACTCTAATGGATATCTTCGATGAAGTTGTGTTTAATACTCTTACGAGAGTTGCCCAACTTGTCAAAGACAAAATTACAAGCCTTGATATCCCAACTCAGCTTGACATCCCCGAGTTCACTATCTTTGGGTTACACACTGTTAAAGCCACCACAATCTCCACTGATGACATCAAGCAGAGAATTATTGAACTTATTGATTTAATTGTAAATTTTAAGATTAGCATGTTTGACATGGATGCTTTCTTTGGAGATTTGACGATGAACTACTTTCCTTCCATCCCTGAGGTAACCCTCCCAGAGATCACTCTTTCTCAGATCTCATTCCCCAAAATTCCACAAGTCCCTACAGAAAAACTTGCCAAGTTTCTTCAAGTCCCTGAAATAAGCTTTCCAACCATTCCAACTGAAATTGTAGTCCCATCTTTTGGTAAACTCTTTGGTGAACTCAAACTCCAGACTCCCATCTACACAATGGAGACATCTGCTGAGTTTAAGAACGCAACTGAGAATGCAATGACGCCTCAATTCAAGGGATTTTTCACTTCCATTGGAAACTCTCCAAATTTTGAAATTCTCAATTACAAACTAGATTCCACTGCTCGCATTGCAATCCCAAAAATGAGACGCGTTGTCTTTGGAGAGACAGTAAAGTTCAGGCATAATTTTCTTGGAGTTGAACATCAGGCATCTGTGACTCTCTATGGCCTATCAGCTCAGGCCCAAGCAAAGACTGGAATTAAGGTCACTACTAGACCTTACACTTCTACCTTTGTAAACACAGCCTTTATTGCTAGGGAAGGGGGAATGACTGCTTCTCTTGATACAACATACACACATTTAGTGGACATTCAATATGACAAGAATGTCATTCTCAGTAATGAGGTAGCTCTAAAACAGAAATCACTTGTTCGCCAAGATGGCTACACACTTACTCTAACAGCTGACAATACAGGAACGTTTAATGGTGATGACAGCCACAACAGCAAGTTAGAGTTGTCATTTTCTCCCAGCATTGTCACCATATCTTTCAGTGGTGACACAGACTGTTCCATGTTAAAGATGAAACAACATATTAGTGCTGAAGTTAGCACATTTTCCTACTTCAAGTTTAATGTTCGCAATGAAGCAGAAGCACCAATTATTAAGAACAGTCTTCTTGTTGCATCTGGTTATGCAAACCTTCATGACATGAAGGCTGAGTTGAAAGCAAACAAAGACACAGAACTCTATGGTGCAGTCACTGGTAGACTTTCCAATGCAATAAGCGTTATAGCTCACCCTGGTGAGTTTTTCTTTGACTTTCAAAACAAAGGAAATGTTAAGGTCAACAGTTTTGAATTTTCGACTGCTAAAATAGAACTACAGAATGATTACTTGGCCCACATCAGTCCTGACAGTCAAAAGATGAATACAGTCATTCTGACTCGTTTTAACCAGTACAAAATCTTGTACAACTTCACTCTTGAAAATAATGTAAATGAAGTTGGAATCTTCGCTGCCATGGATAGTGAGGCCAGTCTTGACTTTCTGAAATACCCCATCAGTATTCCTGAGATTGATCTGCCTTTTGTTGACTTTCATACTCCTGCCATCAATGATCTGAACTTGTATGATCAGGCTGGATTGGACAACATTTTGACTACCACTGACCAGTCTCTGGATGTGAATACTAAGATTGTTTACCAGAAAAGCAAGGCAGCCCCGCTTGCTGATATGATGGGCTTGATCCAAATTCCCTATGTGGGCAATCTAATAACAGAACTCTCTGTCAAGTCTGCCATTATTAATCTGATTGCTAATGCCAGAATGTATACAGAAGATGATCTTGTGTTCCGTCTTGAAGCTACCACAACCTCTATGTTTGAGGACCTTCAAGTCAAACTTGCTGGCACTACTAGTCTTACCACCAAGAGGGGATTCAAGATGGCTAACTCCCTGTCCCTAGAAAACACTCGTATTGCAGGAACTCATGACAGCACCATCACTCTGAGCGCTGATACTTATGATACTGAAGTCTCTGTGGCAACAGTTGCAAATATTGCCCTGCCAATACTAGACATGCAAGCAAACCAAAAACTGGATGCAGACACAAAAACCAAAGCAAATGCTATTTCCACCTTGAGGATAAGTGGTAATTTGAATATTCCTGTGATCAAAACTGTTGGAAAGGCTGAGGCAGACCACAGTCTGAAGCTTGAAGGAACCTCTGATTATATTTCCATGGAGTCCTCTACTAAAGCAAACATGGATGGCACAGTCTATGAAGACTACTTTCTTTATGGAATGCTAGATAACGAAGCTAATGTGTTCCTGAATAAAGACGCCCTGCGCTCAACTTCTAAAGTTATTAGTGATACCAAGTTTAACCATGGTACAACCAAAGTCATTGATATGGATGTAAATGAGAATCTTTCCATTGAAGCCTCCATGAGCCATTTGTATGCAGTGCTGACGTATACTGGCAACAATGAGGCAAACCTGTTCAACTTCAATACCAAAGGGATTCATATTGCCCAAGCCAAAATGGATTTTGCACCAGCCTCCTTGACTGTTGATATTAACATTGACGTGTCTCAGCCAACCAACATGGGTGACTTTGCTCTCTCTGAGAAGACTGTTGTTGAAGTAACAGCTACCAAGCAGCACATCTTTACTAATTCTACGCTTGTCAGCCCACTGTACACTACAAGCATGGCAGCTGAAGTAGAAAGCCGTGCTCCTGTCATCAGAGCAGTTGCCAAGTCCTCTGCAACCTCTGCTTTTGTGATCTTGGAATACAACATGGATGGTGAGTTGATTAAAATTCCCTAAAAACTTCTGTCTTTATCTTTTTTTAAGCACTGTTGAGCACTAAATTTGATGCAATTTCTTTATATAGCTTCTTCTACTGTAAACTTTGAGAATGAAGCTTTCAACATGATTAGCCAAATCACACTGACACATGCTGACCTGACTGTGAATGCCAACCATGCCATTATGCAAGCTATGAGGTAATAATCAATATGTTTGTTTTAAAATGTGTTATTTTAGGAAAATGCACAAAGCTATAATTCATGCTTTACTGTATATTTTCATATGTAAATTGCATATTTTTATATCTTTTGCATGTAACAACAGATGAGGAGCAATTGTGATTTCAATATTTTCTTTTGTTCCAGTGTTCAACAACATGCACTGAACGTGAACTTCACCAGTCATACTTTCACTGATGTGAACCTTCAATATGCTACACACAGCAATGGTATCAGTGCCTCAGTATCTTCTCCAGCCACTGGCCTTCTGGGCCTTCAGTTCAGTCGTGCGGTCCCATCCCAGATGAGTGCAAAAGTCTATGGCCGTTACCCTGTAAGTATTGTTAGCAAGATCATTTTAATACAATGGACACTAAGGAAGAAAGGCACTGGATCAAATGGCTAGGCAGAGAGATGTGCGCAGATCACATGTGTGTGAATGAGGAGACAAGTGGAAGGGTTAAGAAAAACAAGGTGTAGATGGGTAATAGATAGACCGTAGATGTCAAGATTTTTAGGGGCAACGCAGGTTGTGTGGTTTACATACAAAGTTAGAGACAGGATTGAGATGGTACAGAGGAGGGATAGTCGATATATTGAACAAAAGTTGTTAAAGATGCAGTTGCCAGAGACTAGGCCCTCAGAAGAGGTTTATAAATGTAGTAAAGGAAGACATGGAGAGGGCTTGTGACACAGAAGAGGATCCCAAGGATAGTATGGTATGAAGGCAGATGAGCCACTGTGGCGAACCCTAAAAGGAGCAGCTGAAGAAGGAGAAGAAAAAGAAGAATGTCAGTACAACGATAAATTAAGATTTTGGTTACTAAATGTTACTTTTTCTTTTGTTTTTTCTTTTTTCTAGTCTGCCCCAGAGGTTGATGTTGACATCTTGGTCATCAGATCTACTCCCAAGGATAACAACAAGATGAATCTACAGATTGTTTACAACATGGAGACACCCACAGCAATACTCTCTCAGATCAAGATGAGACTTCCTTCCATAATTTCAACATTCAAAGACTTTACTGACAAGTATCAGTTCACAGGGTACATGGAGATGTTAAAGGACTCTGTCATTAACCACATCAATGAAGTCTATAATGCTGCAACCAATTATGATGTTCAAATGAGCCAGCTGTCAATTATCTTCAGGAACATAATTGTACAATACCAGAAAACTGTCCAGGTCTTCCTAAATGCTGTCATTAAGGTTTTAAGGGAGACCAGGTTCAAAGTGCCTGGGTCAGATGAGATGACCACTCTCCCTGAGGTCTTAAAGAAGCTAACTAGCAGCATTGCTGCTATGCTAGAAGTAACCATTCAGATTATCTATGAAAAAATGGAGGCCACCTATAACTTTTTTGTTGAAAGGTTGAGCAATGTGAAAATGCAGATGCCGGTTGGTGATGCAGTCACTGGAGGGCAGATCATAGATCAAGTCAAAAAAGTTTCCAAGAAAATCTTTGAGGAAATGGTGAATTTTGTAAAAAACATGGAGAGTCTTGACACAATGCTAGTGAAAATAGGTGAGACCCTGGAGGCTATTGTTGAGAAATTGCAGGAATTTGTAGACTCTCTCAAGTCAGATTATTTAGATGAAATGTTTGGCAATATCAATCATCTCTATCGTAACTTTGTCACGGTCCTAAAGAACATAGTTGACCAGATCTCTGCTATGGAGTTCAACATGGTGTGCGAGTACATTATAAATGTGTTCATGTATGTAGTACATGAGTTCAATAATATGGTTCAGGGGGTTCTGCAGCAAGCTTCTGAGGAAGTTCAAGCCCACGTGACAGTCAGAGATGGAAAGCTTGAGATTGACCTTCCATTTCACTTTCAACAGTAAAGCATCAAAGAGTGAAGCCTAAGTACATAGGAAACACTACCATCCATTCAGAGCACATTCTTGGAAAGAATACGGATAAATAGCTTTTCAATATTTATAACAATAAGTTCAGCAGATACACCGGCTACACCATTTATGAAGATGGATTATTTTGTAGAAACACATGTAGAACATGTAAAATGTTGTTCAAACTCACCTTCCAGCATAGACTGAGAAGCATTAATAAAATCCATTAATGCAGTCTGTAAATGTCGGATTTATTGCTTTGTGATTTTTTTTATTTACATCCAAACTTAATTAATTAGGAAAACTGTCAAACTACACAAAAATAATTGTCTATGTTAAACTGTATCTTACAAGAGTGATCATCAGAACTGTCCGATAATGTCACTGTAGTTTGAATAAATATTCATATCTTTTAATTTCTTCAGATGCAACATTAGCTTCAGATATCGAGATCAGGACAAAGCTTTACATGAATTTCTAAAGCTGAGGTGTTAATTCATTTAAAAAATGGGCACATTGGAAACTGGGACTGTTGTAGAGGGCTGCAGGAAAAAGATTAACTCAGTTCTGCTCAATATTAATTTTATCTCTTCATAAACTGGTAAGAGTAGATTGACAGTTAAGCAATGAGAATGTGAAATGAAAGGTAAGAATAAGAACATTTTATCAGTGTTTAATCAGCATTTCCAATAACAACTAGGAACAAAATGTGCAAGCTATAGCAAAATTTCAAAGACTTTAATTTTATCTATTGCTATTTTACTTGTAGTTTAACTTCATCTTCAGTTTTTCCAGAAAGTTTTTCTTTCTCCATGTTCTCAATGTTCTGGACTTGAATAATCCAGTGGAAATTTTATTTATATAGCACTAGTTCACAACCACAGTCACCTCAGTGCACTTTTTAGTGTAAAGTAAGGACCCTACAACAGGGGTCCCCAATCCCAGTCCACGAGGGCCGGTGTCCCTGCAGGTTTTAGATGTGTCCTTGATCCATCGCAGCTGATTTAAATGGATAAATTACCATCTCAACATGTCTTGAAGTTCTCCAGAGGCCTGGTAATGAACTAATCATGTGATTCAGGTGTGTTGACCCAGGGTGAGATCTAAAACCTGCAGGGACACCGGCCCTCGTGGACTGGGATTGGGGACCCCTGCCCTACAATATTAGAAAGAAACCCCAAATAATTACATAACCCCCTTTGAGCAAGTACAGTGGCGAAAGTGTGGATGAATACTCCCTTTTAACACAAGAACCCTTCAGCAGAAACCGGCCAGGGTTATAACATCCGGAGTAAGTCTCTGGTTAGATACGATGTTCCTGAGATTTGTTTGGCGAATAACCTCAGTTTTATCTTAAATTAGAAGCAGGAGGTGAGATGTAATCCAGGTCTTTATGTGATTAGACTTTAAACTCTGAGGATGCAACAACTAAAACTGTTGTTTTTTTACTTTTCCAATCATAGTGGAGAAGACAAAGAATAAGGTTTTCAAATGAATTCAAACTATTTCTAGGTCTTTAATTACCTGATAGCCTCTAGTGAAGAATTTCTGCCACTCCTCTTCATCGTGCGCTTTGAGTATTCTCAGATTTGGAAATGTAAAAAAACACAGTGGAAAGTTGATTATCACTGAGAGGGGGTCTGTTTCTGGATTTGTTAAACTTCATTATTTCATGCATTTATTACTTCTGGGCTCAACACCTCTAATTCGAGTTTTTCTAAATGTTTTTTAAAAAGCCCTCAATTGATCAAGAATACTGTAGTGAGAGTAAAAAGTGACTAGAAAGGGACTAGACGGAGAGACCATATTTATCCCATATCAGCTTCTTGTCACTGGCTACCTGTTAAATCCAGAATTTGATTTAAACTTCTTGGCGATAGTCAGAAATAAAAGCTCCCTTTTAACAGGAAGAAACATGCAGCAGAGCCAACTTCAGGGAGTGTTCAATGCAGCCACTATATGTGATTTCTTGTCTGAAAATACCGGCTAACTGTTTGTTAAGCAGTAGTGAAAATGGAATGTAAAGTGCAAACAGAGAAATCTCTGGATGTAAAGTTGCACATTGAGACATGTTGATAACTCTAATGGCAACCAATTTCACCTCGCAATGCCCTGCAACCATTGAGGCAATACAGGAAACCTAGAAACTTGTAGTTGCTAACAGGTTTCTAGATGCACCCTTATTATTTATGCACCTTTCAACTATGTTATAAGTTTCAGTGTTGCAGACTATGTCCACCAAAGAGCCGCAACTTCCCAGTTGGCAGCAGATGTTTAAAACACCTCAAAGACAATTACCAGCTGATCCAAGCAGGTCCAGGAGAGTGTCAGTATATCAGTCAATATACCAATTTTTAAATTGCTAAATATCTGTGTTTGGTATCAGTTTTCAAAATCCTATATGAAGCATATATAACACATGGCCCTATAATTATCTTAATATTTCAGCTTTTTGGTTTTCATGCTAATAATGCAGAAATGCTTGCACATGGGAATATTTTATATCTTTTTTCTATATTCCGTAGTATGTGATAGATTTTGTCCTACCGCAGGGGTGGGCGCCTCCAGACCTCAAGGGCCAGTGTTCTGCAGGTTTTAGATCTCACCCTGGGTCAACACACCTGTATCACATGATTAGTTCATTACCAAGCCTCTGGAGAACTTCAGGACACATTGAGGAGGTAATTTAACCATTTGAATCAGCTGTGATGGATCAAGGACACATCTAAAACCTGCAGGACACCGGCCCTCGAGGCCTGGAGTTGCCCACCCCTGTGGTTACCGATTATATATACTGCAATATTCCATTACTCAAAGTTTAGATTCAGCTACAGATGAGGACAGAATTATCCACCCCTCCCCCCCATTCTTTTTGCTGGATAACAATCTGCAGTCAATTGTTCTAGTTTTTAACAAATCTCGCACACGTCTCCAGAGCAGTCCGAGCCCCTTCTTCTTTGGCAAATATCTAAGCTACTCCAGATTTGATGGTATTCTGACATGAACTTTGATCTTCTGTTCACCCCACAGATTCTTATTAAATGTGCCTTCTGCACCACAAACAGGACTGTAGACCCTATTCGAACATCACATTTTGGAACCTTTAAATCCCTGCTTTAAAGATGGACATACAGTGGCCCAGGGAGGCCAAACGGACTGCAACTTAAGAAAACACCAGCAATAAGAAAAACGCTGCAAAAGCACACAAAACAAAAACAGAAATAGGAAAAACGACAACGGAATTAGGAAAAAAGAAAACAGAAACAGGAAAAAAAATGATTTCCAAAAGCACAAGGGAAGTGTTTCTGGGGAGACAATAACCCGACGGACCAGTTGCAGGAACCAAAATATGCTAAGAATTGCGCTGGGAGACACTTAAAAGAAGTGGAGGATCTATCGGTTTTGTGAGGAAAGAAAAGATGAGAGGTACGCGTGTTAGCCTAAAAATACGTCATCAGTAATATATGAATCATGATAAAACACACCTACCATATTTTGGGTTCCTGCAACTGGTCCGTCGGGTTATTGTTTCCCCAGAAACACTTCCCTTGTGTTTTTTTTTTTTTTCCTATTTCTGCTTTCGTTTTTCCTATTTCTGTTTTGTTTTTTCCTCTCTGGTACTTTTACACCCGGTATCAAGGTTGGACTGAAGATTACTCGTGACATGGTAATGCTCCATAAATATGTTTATATGTCACCTGTCATTTTTTTCACCACATCATCACAGGTGTTAAATTCTGTTCCTGTTTCCATATAGATTAAAGAGACTTTCATGCCCTATGCTGGTATTGAGTTTGTAACTCAGATGGGTTCTCACATCCCTGAATATGTCAACCCTGGATTAGAAATGCAAACGAATGTTTTCCATGACAGTGGCCTCCATGCCAAGATCACCAGAGCAGTCATGAAATTTAACAGAAGGAGGCATGTTATCACTGTTGACATCCAGATCCCTGACTACAACGTGAAGGCTGGAGTTAGGCTGGGTGTTGTGGATGGAAACACAAAGGGCAGAGGAACTCACTCCATCTCTCTTGATTTTATAAACAAAAATGTTTCTCAGTGCGCTCTGGTTGGTCGTGCCAAGTAAGAAAGCAGATTTTCCTATCAGAGACACTATTCCTGAATACTTAAGTGCATGGTAAATATTTAAACAATCTAATTTTTATACCTCAACAACATAAAAAATGCTTATTTCCCTATGCCTTTTGGAGGAAAGCCAACTTAAGAACTTAGCTCCCCACCAGCTTTGACCACTCCAGACCTGTCTTTAAACCAGTATGGACTGGAAATCTCCTCAATGAAGATTCCCATCCCAGAGATTGTTATTCCTGAGAGCTTCACTGTGTCTATTCCTCTGTTTGGTAGAGTGGAGGTTTCAACAGATGAAAAACAACTTAATGACAAGGAGGCCTCTGTGGCTTTTGGCTAAGTTGGACATTAAAATAACCTCCCCAAATAAAATCCCAAAGCTTGAAGCTACACACTGAAGATCACTGATACAGTTAAAATTAACTTGTAGTTAAAATGAGGAGCTGTTTTTATTTGAAGGATTTATTTGCGGTTTGTGACTTTGTTTCTTTTATAATGTTTTGGTACTTTAAATATCTACTAATAGATTTTGGTTATATAAACTGTAACACTAGCAACTCGAAAACACTTGCTGCTAAGCTAAAGAGGCTCTTTTCATCTGTTGACTTAAAAGCTTATATTGAGGAACTAGTGAACTACGTTCTTAGAGAGATTCACACTGACACTGATTTCATTCGGAAAGTAATTCAGGGTCTTGACATCGTGAGTAAGATCAACATAAATTCCAAAATGAGAAAATGCTCAAGCAGTCTAAAAAATTAAATATTGACAGAATTATCAATTATGTAGTTTTATGAATGCCTTTAAGGATATCAACATGTGGAAACCACTAAGTATTGTTTTCATGTTCAACCTTGAGGCCAACTTTATTGATTTGTGTGTGCATTAATTTGAAAATCAGGGCCCCTCTGTTGGTCCTCTGTGGGCTCTTGCTCTCTGGGGGGCTTCTAGGTTTCTGGGGCCTGGGTCTCCTCTAATGCTTGCTTCATGTCCTGGGGGCCAGGGCTATGGCTCCCGATACCCACTAGTGTGTGTTCACAGACACAGACTATATCTTTCTTGGCTGCTGCCTCAAAGCATACATTGCATTTTCAGCCTTGTGCTTAGTAGCTGCTTAGTAGCATTCAGTATTTATTATCTATTGTTTCTTA